AGTGGAAATACCTCCACTGTCTGAATCTATAACCCTCCAATAGTGAATTACATAGTTTGACAGGCCCCCCCTGGCCCTGCCAAGAGCTGCTGAGCAGCAGTCATGTTCTATTCAGAGGGGAGTGAGCCTGGGAAAACGGGTATTGGGGATGGGAGTTCTGGGGAGCAACTATGCCAAGACACTCCCTTGCCTTCACTTAGGTTTCAACAGAGTATTGTTTCCACACTACTTGCTCTAATGTATTTTCCTCTATTTTAAAAAACCACTATCAACACGTTACTTTAACACAAAGTACCATTTTTGTAAATGAAGCTTATACGGAACTGTTGCTGTGCAAAAATTTTAAACCTTAAGAATATTTCAGTTAAACAGAAAAGGCCCTAAGTAGAATAAACCACAATAAAGAAATAAAAATAAAAACTAAAAAGCGGAATAAGTCAACTTGCTAAAGGATTCATCTAGCTCAAGTGAACTCCACTTCCACATTTACAGGGTTGGTGTCAGAAAAAGAACTCTAGCCTCTTCAACCTCATTACTATTTTTAGACACTGACCTAGACTAAAATACCTTTTTAAGTTCCTGACAATACAACTTCTTCGGATTCTGTTTGCCCGACTTGGGTTTGTCCTTAGCTTTGCCCTGCCCAAATTCCTGCAAGATAAAGACAAGGGAAAAAGGACACAAAATTAGCACTTTAGGTGCAACCTGATTCTCCATTTTCCATGGCTAACTAGGGGCACTGCAGGTGATATTTCTATTAGTAAAAGAGAGTTGGAACTCTCCGTCCAAGAAGCACAGCAGCCCCTGTCCCGGGTATGTGTTTTTACATCTACGTCAGAACCCTCATTCACAAAGATACTTAATCCTACCTTCTTCACAGGTTCCAAGTTAGACGGCTTAACACCAGGGTTAGTTTCAAGTTTTCTTTTCTTTTCCTGTTCCTTCTGCCTGTCAAGTTTCTGCTGCTGTTTTAGTTCTTCAAGCTGTGTCCAAGCCGTAAGAGAAATGGGTGAGCCAAAGCAATCTGGTGTTATTTTACTTTGAAAAGCTACACATACCCACACATCACTTGTTCAGAGTTTGAGTTAACATCTTACCCGCTGTTTCCTTAGTTCAGCTTCCCGAAGAAGAGCTTCTTTAAAGGGAGCACTGTTTGGAACTCCTGGGTCTTTTCTAGGCTTTTTGCGACCCCGTTTTTTAGCCTCCTTCCTCAATTTTCGATGGTGCTCTCGAACCTATTATAATAAAAATTCTTGTGAGTACCTGGCTAAAATTGGTTATACATATAAGATAACCTAGAAAAGTTAACTTGTAACCATATAGAAAGCATACATATTTATGTATAAAACGGCAAAAAAAATTTCATCAGGAGACTCTTTGCAGACATTAACATGTTGATCAGAGTTTATAGACTTATCACCAAATTACTGCACTTTCCCACAGCTATACTCCTGATGTCTAAGAACTTGTGCCCACGGACAGTCTATTTAACCTCAATTTCATGAGGTGAAATCCTATTAATCCAAACCTCCCAGTGGAGGAGAGGTGGGGCAGAAATCAGTTTTGCATTATTTTAATATAGCTCTTCCAAGCAGAGCACTTACCTTTTTTTGGATTTTATACCGCTTATGGCAGGTCATGCGTTTACTTGCTTTCTTCAACTCTACAAAAAAACCCATCGCAAAACAATTAGACACAAGGGATCCATTTGTTTAGTTTTTAGTGACTGCTCGGGGGTCACGTCCCTTTTCCCATTTAGCAATTAACTCTCAAACCTAATTTAAGAATCATATATGGTGGATAATAAATGTAGGCCATTCTAAAATCTCGGGACAATTTGACACAGTATATCCGGAGCAGAGCCCAGCTTCCTTACGCCCCCTCTTCCCATAGTAGACTGAAATCGCACACAGGAGCATGAGACCCAAAACGGCAGGCACTTCTTGTCACACACCGTGAATCGCAAGTTAGGACCTGATAGTGGATTTCAGAAGCGGCACTCAAGACCTCGCTAGGGCCAGACTGAACGTGGGTCAAGGGAGGAAAACGCTGGGCCCGCAACCTGGCTCAGACACTGTTTACGCAGGAGGCCCAGGCTTCATCTTCATTTTTTTTTTCTTTGAAGATTGTATTTATTTAGGCGCCTGGGTGGCTCAGGTGGTTAAGCGTCTGCCTTTGGCTCAGGTCATGGTCCCAGGGTGCTGGGATGGAGTCCTGCATGGGGCTCCTTGCTCAGCGGGGAACCTGCTTCTCCCTCTCCCTGCTTGTACTCTGTCAAAGACTCCCTCCGTCTTTTTTTTTTAAAACTATTTGACACAGAACAAGGGGAAGGGCAGAGGCAGAGTGAGAAGCAGACTCCCCGCTGAGCAAGGCGTCCACGCAGGGCTAAATACCAGGACCCCGGGATCATGACCTGAGCCGAAGGCAGCCGCCTTACCGACTGAACCACCCAAGCGCCCCAGTGAAATTCACTTGTCTTCCTTTCGTCAAACAGGCCGGCGGTCAGCGTGGGGCCTTCCAACCCTCGCTTCTACTGGGGACCAGCGCGACGGCCTACCCACAGGCTCCCCCACTCCCACATAAGAGCGCCCCGGTGGTTCGTCAACCATTAGAGACAGAGGCCCCTCCACACCCGCTCCCCAACCCCACTCACTCGGTCGCTTCATACTGGTAGTGGCAAGGGCAGTGCCGGCAGTGAGTGTAAGGGCAGCAGCAGCAACAACGTGCCTCCACCACAGCCACGTGTAAATTGCGGCCAAGCTCGAGCGTCACGCACTGACGCTACCGCCGTAAAGAGCGCCGCCGCCCGTTCGCGTGTGCGCGCACGCAGTGTCGTGCGGAGCCGGGTTCGCTTGGCGGCCGCGGGACTGGTTTTGCGGCGGCACCGGGAGGGGTGAGGGCGGTGAGGGCGGCGGGTGCTGGAGAGACGGCAGCGGCCACAGCCGGAGGAGCAATAGCAGCAGCCGTGGCGGCCACGGGGCGGGGCGCGGCGGTCGGCGACCGCGGCCGGGGCTGCAGGCGGCGGAGCGGCTGGGTAAGGCCGGGCTCGGGGCGGGCGGGGCCGCTCCTTCTCGGCCGGCTGCCGGGCCTTTGTGTGGGCCCGGGCGGGCGGGAGCAGCGGCGGAGGCCCCGCCCCGGCCGTGGGGACGCGCCGGTCGGGCCGGGCGCGCGGGGCGGGGCACGGCGGCGGGCGTCGGGACGGCCAGGCAGCCTTGCCGCACCTGCCGGCCGGGACAAAGGCGCGCCACGGCTCGGAAACTCCTCGCTCTCTCTTTCCCGCCCCTGCGGCTGGCCGAGCACTCGTCGCGGGCAGCTTCAAAGCTGTCAACGTTTCCCTTAGTCCCCGTACCAGTGACAGGTCCGGAAAGTCTTTCATTTCTTCCGCAGGTCAGGGCCTCCTTTTTTTGTTGTTTCTTGACGGTTCGGACGCAAACTCAACTAGTGAAAAAATTTTTTTTAATTTTCTTTCTTTCTTTTTTTTTTTTTTAACATTTTCTAGATGACTGTGTTCAGACCGAATGTTTTTATCAATGGGACTTGTATTTATAGTAAAGGCTAGATATTTAAGTATCTCATGTTTCTGCAGCACCACGAAAAAAAATCGAGGTTTTAAAACTGCGTTTCCTGGTTTTTAATAATTTTCCACCTCTTAAGATTTTTTTTACTGAAAGAAATGTAGTTTTGTGATAGAGCAGATATTGGTGATTTAAATAAGATTGGCAAAATGTAGAAGAAATACTGAAAACCAAATGGCAAATATACAGTATAGCAGATATAGAAATTATTACTATGGTTATAGAACATATGTTGGAATAAAACATTCTTACTAACTTATATTCCAAAAAACTAGGGCCCCTCAAAAGTGATTTTGAAGTGATGTTTTTCCATTAAGAGTAGTATGATTTTGCTTTATTATTTGTTAACAGATGTCGGTACTTTAAGATTCAAAAGAAGATAGGAAAGTATCTTTTGAAGAAGTATTTCCAATTTAAAACCGTAACCAGTGTGTGGATAAATTGAAGGGCCTTGATCGCTTTCTTTGGCTTTGGGTGTACCTCAAATATTAATATTCTACCCAAAACCCCAAGATTAGTATATTTTGGTATATATATGATAGGCTATTATCAAGCCATCTAACATCATGTGGAAGAATGTTGACTTGGAAGAATCCTAAGTTAAAATACAAGGTGCAAAATAATACATATGATTTAACACTTTTGTTTAAAAAAATAAGCAACTAAGGCATAGAATAAATACAAAAAGCTGTGAATGCCAATGTTAAGGGTGTTTTTTTCCCTAGAAAGAAGGATTATGGTTTTTTTCTCCTTCAAATCCTGTTTTCCAAGATTCTTGTTCTAACCATGTATTACAGTATTGAGTATCACGAGAAATAGAGGAGAGTACGAAAAGTTTATAAACTGTCAGCATATACCATGTGGGTATAATGAGTCAGTATTTTCCCAATTGCACATTTTAAAAATTATTCATTAGTGTGCACTGTAATTTATTGATTGTCAGACTTTTGGACATGTGACTGTAATCAGTGCCATTTTAAAAACCTGTATTTTATTAGCTCCAGAATTTATTTCCTCTTCATGGCAAAAGAATTGCTAAAGGCATGCTCACAGTCCTTTTAAACCACACAGACTTTTTTTAATGTCCCACTTAATGTGTACTTTTAATGTGTTTATTAAAAAGATAAATTGATCGCTCATACCAGATACTATTCTTTTTTTTTTTTTTTAAGATTTTTATTTATTTGTCAGAGAGAGAGAGAAAGAGAGCACCAGCAGGGGGAGCAGCAGAGGGAAAGGGAAAAGCAGGCTCCTCACTGAGCAAGGAGCCCGATGTGGGACTCGATCCCAGGACCCTGGGATCATGACCTGAGCCGAAGGCAGACACTTAACAACTGAGCCACCCAGGCGTCCCTACCAGATACTATTCTATAAGCTAGAGCTACAAAAATGAATAAAGTGCTATTCCTGTTCCCAGGGAGCATTTAATCCTAGAGTTGAAACTTCTTTGTCCTGCTTTGAAGTTTCAAAGTGATTTCATGAACATTTCACAGTTCCAATAATCTAAGGCAGATATGCACACCTGACCTCATTTTAGAAGTGAAGAAACAGCTCTGAGAGGTTGTGACTCAAGCAACATCAAACAGATAATTCAAAGTGGAGGACTTGGGACTCACATTCTGGTCTTCTGAGCTCAAGTCCTGTTGCTTCTCCCACCTATCTGGCCACATTGCCTTTATTGCCAAACTTCCAAAATACATTTTAAAACGTGTCCTTTGGATAAGAAAATAATTGAAAATTACCCTTAAGTTACATCTTTTTCTTGTTTTAGCAGAGAAAGTTAATGATTTAAGGCGTTTTGGATATTGTGTGGTCTAAACTGGTATACGTATACACACCAACGATTTACAGTTTTTTGTCATTTGCTTTCCAGTGGATTATTTCTGAAGGTAATTTTGATCACCTGCCAAAATGATAGAAGGCTTTGTTTTTAATTTTTTAAAATTTGTGTGTGGTGTCTTTCCAATGCTGATAGAACTTTTGGAAAGAAATGTCTTTCTCTGAATTTTTTTTAGGGGGGGAGGAGTTTTCCAGACTCTGTTCACATGAGCCATTCATTCTTGGTTTGTTCCAGCTTGCCAACACTTGGTGTCACATGTGAGCCTTCCACTGTAATTTATTGATTGTCAGACTTTTGGACATGTGACTGTAATCAGTGCCATTTTAAAAGCCTCTCCATTCCAGCTCTGTGATTGAACTCTGCTCTTATTGACTAGGGGGCATTTGGGCAGGCATGCTTCATTCCTGGAATTGACAGTCATTCCATGTGAGTAAAGGGGAATCCCAGTGAGCCATCTTTAAGCATATGAAAAGCATTTGGTTTTAAAATGGAAAGAAATGTCAGGTACTATTAGTGCCTGAGCCTTTGCAGCAGTTTGGCACAAGAGAACTAATACGGCTATTTTCTCCAGTTCTCTTTCTTTAGCAGTTCTACTTGAATGTTTTCTATCTATTCGTACTCATTTTTACTCCTTCTGACCTTTCTTCTTTATTTCCCCTTTCTCTGCCTTGTTCTTCTCTTTCAGTTTTGAATATATTAACACTGAATCAGCACTTCTAAAGCCCTGCCTTCTCCCACTGGCTTCACTTGGCCTTCAGACATAATGAGGAGACTGGCTTTTCGAGGCGCTGGTTGTGCTCTGGTAAAGCTGGTAAATTACTGATCATCTACACCTTTTCTCTTTTCTGTCCTTCCTTGCCTCTTCCCTTCCCTTTTTTTAAAAAATTTTGTTAATCCTTCCCATAAAGATTCCCTTGTCATGTTCATCAAATTCACTTGTGTCCTTGTCATAGCTTGTTTACTGAGGTTTGGTCCTTAGTTTCTTCCTCTTAATTGAGGCCAGTTTATCAGCCTTTTATGAAACAAAAAAAAATCAGCAACACTTGGCTGTCTTTGGCCTAAGCCCTTTGAACCTTTTAGCCAGTTGTAGCCAATTGCAAACTAGTATACTGTATAACAAACCAAAGCCTAGAGGAAGGAATATCGTCATGGTAGGCTGTTTTTAAATACATGTGGACCGTAGTTCAGAGGAAGAGATAGGAGATTCCTTGTTTCTTAGGTGGTTACCAGAATGTTCTGTTTGTTGGTTTGTTTTGCTCCTCCCTTCTGTTCCCTGGAGATCCCCAATTTTTCTCTATACCTACTGGCAACCCATTCTTTCAGCTGCTGGTGTCTTAGTTTACTGACGTTGAATGTTGATGAGTGAAACTGGGATCAGTTTTTTCTTTTAGCTTTGGAGAGAGACCTTTGAAGTCACAGTACACTATTTGATACTGTTGTTAAATTGTATAAGCATCATAGGACCTTCTCAGGTATATACCCTTTCCCTCTAGCTGTAGCAGATCATTTCAATGGTTGCATTTTTTGTGTTACAGTCAAATATGTATATTTGTAAATTTGTGTTAACATTAGCTACTAGACAGCCTACCTGACAGCAAATATTTATGTGTTTCTGAAAGGCCAACTAGGATCTAAAGGTTCCCCTGTGAGGTACTATTCCAAGTCACCTGCTGAAACTTAAAGCTATGATTTCAAAATTCATGGGGCTAGAATACCTCGTATAACTGAAAAGGAGGTTAGTCTGATTGACAGAAAAGTTTCAAAATAGTTTTACTACTTTGACATAGGTATGGTAAGTCACATTAAGTGTTTTCCAGGGATATGTTTTGTGGCCTTCTTTAATGAATGGAGAAAATTCATTTTCAGTGTTAATTTTAGAGTTCATCTAAAATGCTAGAAGGTTAATTGTCCTCTGTCCCCTACACTTGGGCACTACTCATTTGCCTCAGGCACTGATTTCTATTTTTTTCCACATCATGGCCCACCTGGAAAATGATCAGAATTGTTAGACATACTGGGGAAAACAGATGAAGCTGCTGACTGCAGAGGTGACTGCCTTGGGGCTTCTGTCCCTGAGGCCTGCCTCGCTGCCTCAGGGGCTGAGGGATCAATACCTCCACACTGGCGTACCCCTACATGTAGGTTTTCAAAGTCCATTGAGGAGTAAATTTGGGACCAGACATGATTGGGTCATTTAGACTTGGTGACATATAAATGGGTATACTTTTGTTGAGTTTGTCCTATCCGAGTTGAAAGTGTAGTATTCTGGTAAGTGAAGGGGCTGAAGCAACAAGGTGCAGAACTTCCACTGAAAAAACTGACAGTTAAGTTTCTTTACAACGGTTAAAATATCCTCCTACATGAACCAGAATCTGGGTAGCAAGTGCCTAGCTGAGGGCTTGGTGGCAGTGTCTAAATTTAAGTATAAGAACATGGCTGATTATTTCTTATAGAAGAAATTGGATTCCATGGGTTCCAAGAGAAGAAGAGCTACCTCGCCATCCAGTAGTGTCAGCGGGGACTTTGATGACGGGCACCATTCTGTATCCACACCAGGCCCAAGCAGGAAAAGGAGAAGACTTTCCAATCTTCCAACTGTAGATCCTGTGAGTAACTTGCATCACACAGTTTCTGCCTGCTTTTCCTACTCTTCCTTTAATGATAAGCAGTTAAGATACACTTCTTTTTCCTCTGGCTTAATATTCTTAATCTTTCGGGGCACCTGGGTGGCTCAGTCGTTAAGCGTCTGCCTTCAGCTTGGGTCATGATCCCGGGGTCCTGGGATCGAGCCCCGCATCAGGCTCTCTGCTCTGCGGGAGGCCTGCTTCTCCCTCTCCCACTCCTCCTGCTTGTGTTCCCTCTCTCGCTGTGTGTCTGTCAAATAAATAAAATCTTAAAAAAAAAATTTTTTTCTTAATCTTTCTTTTATGGAAAGCATATATTTAGCCAACAGTCTTAACAGTTAAAATTTAAGAAATAATGGTGGGTGGAGGGTGGCTGAAATAGGTGAAGGGGATTAAGAGGTACAAACTTCCAGTTATAAAATAAATAAGTCACAGAGATGAAAAGTACAGCATAAGGAGTATAGTCAACAACGTTGTAATAACATTATATAGTGACAGGGATTACACCTACTGTGGTGGGAATTGTTGAATCACTACGTTGTACATCTGAAACTAATATAATATTGTATGTCAGTTATACTTTAATAATACTTTTTTTTTTTTAAGATTCCATAATATTCATTTTAGAGAGAGAGAGAGCGGGGGGTCAGGGGAGGGCCGAGGGGGAGGGAGAGGAAAAAGCAGACTCCACACTAAGCACGCAGATTCTGACTTGGGGCTCAGTCCCACAACCATGAGATCATGAATTGAGCCAAAACCAAGAGTCAGACACCCAACCAACTGAGCCACCCAGGTGTACCCGAGTAATACACTTTAAAAATAAAATAAATATTTAAGAACTCAAAAAAAGGGGCGCCTGGGTGGCTCAGTCGGTTAAGCGGCTGCCTTTGGCTCAGGTCATGATCCCAGAGTCCCCAGGATCGAGCCCCGCATCGGGCTCCCTGCTCGGCGGGGAACCTGCCTCTCCCTCTCCCTCTGCCTGCCTCTCTGCCTACCTGTTCTCTCTCTCTCTCTGTCAAATAAATAGATAAAATCTTTTAAGACAAAAAAAAAAGAACTCAAAAAAAGTAATTACTCGGAATACATTTAGAATAAGAAATTTGCATAAAGTTATTTCTGTTTTGTTGAAAAGGTCTTTTTATAAAAGTGTAATCTGCCAAAGCACTTAATTCTAATTAAAAATAACCAAATGGGGAAAAAAAAAAAAAACAAATGGGTTTATGAATTCTACAGATCAGAGAGTGGCAGACAGTGTAATAGAAATATGCACAAAAATTTTTTTCTAGTTTTATTGAGATGTAATTGACGTATAAAACTATATAAGTTCAAGGTGTACCTTATAGTGATTTGACCTATATATATTATGAAATGAAGCCACAATTAGTTTAATATCCATCATCTCCTATAGATGACCAAAAAAAATGTTGTTTTCCTTATAATGTTGTTTTTCTATAATCCTTTTAGGATCTACTCTTATGACAACTTTCAAATATACAGTAGCAGTGTTAAGTATAGTTATGTTGTATGTTACATCCCCAGCACTTATTTATAATAACTGGAAGTTTATACCTTTTGACCAAAAAAAAGAAAGAAAGAAAATATTAGTATGTTGCATCATATATCCATTCAAATAACTGCGCTTGTCATGTGCCAAGCACTCGCTATTCTGATGGTTGGGATATAGCCATGTGTAAGACAAGCAGTTTTTCACATGGAGCTTAGATTCTACTGTGGCAGAAGCAGAATGTAAACAGATGAACAAATAGATAATAAAGTACCCTCAGCTAATGATAAATGCTAAGGAAAAAAGTTTGGGTGATTTGGCTGCTTGGGCCCAAACCTTGAGGGATTTCTCTGTGATGGGAAGGCACTGGCCCTACAGAGTTCTGGAAAAGGGTGTTCCAGGCAGAGGGACCCGATGCAGAGGAGCTAGGTCAGGAATGTGTTTGTTGTGTTGTGATTATAGAAAGATGGTCAAGGGGAGAAGGAGACTGGCAAAGTCTGCCCAGCCACAGTATGTAGTTAACCCTACATACTCCATGGTCAATGTTAGGGGTTTAGATTTTATTCTCTCAGTAATAAGAAGCTCCTCTTTTGAATGATTTTAACCAAGAGAGTGATATGAACTGATTTAGCTTAAGAGAAAAGAACAATCACGAGTAGCATAAATCTGATGAAAGATACCAAGATGTTTAATCAGTTAAAATTTTTTTTTACCCAATGTGGGGCTTGAACTCATGACCCTGAGATCAAGAGTTGGATGCTTTTCTTTTCTTTTTTTTTTTTTTTTTAAGATTTTATTTATTTATTTGACAGAGAGAGAGATAGCAAGAGCAGGAACACAAGCAGGGGGAGTGGGAGAGGGAGAAGCAGGCTTCCCGCTGAGCAGGGAGCCCAATGCGGGGCTCGATCCCAGGACCCTGGGATCATGACCTGAGCCGAAGGCAGATGCTTAACGACTGAGCCACCCAGGCGTCCCGAGTTGGATGCTCTTCTGACTGAGCCAGCCAGGTGCCCCTAAGCAGTTAAAATTATTATTTTTTTTTAAGATTTTATTTATTTATTTGACAGAGACATAGCAAGAGAGAGAACACAAGCAGGGGGAGTGGGAGAGGGAGAAGCAGGCTTTCTGCTGAGCAGAGAGCCCGATGCGGGGCTCGATCCCAGGACCCTGGGATCACAACCTGAGCCGAAGGCAGACGCTTAACGACTGAGCCACCCAGGCGCCCCTAAAATTATTTTAAATTAAAGGAGATATTGTCAGCATATTTCAGACTTGGGTTCCTGTGGGGAACTTGCGGATTTGTCCATTTTCTTCTCTACTTTTTATGAGTATGTTTTTATTAAGGATAATCCTTATACGTACACTGGCTTTCTTTCTATTCACGTTTCTGGTGATTTTTTTCACCTTTTCCTGTGTATAGATTGCTGTATGCCATGAACTGTACAATACCATTCGAGACTATAAGGATGAGCAGGGCAGGCTCCTCTGTGAGCTCTTCATTAGGGCACCGAAACGAAGGTGAGTTGGAAGGTGAGTGGGAGGGATTTGGTCCCGGGTCCACAAGTACAGCATTTGGTAATAGAGTTTTCCTCTGGAAGGAATGGCTTAAAGGATACTAGGGTCCAGATTTTAGTTTTAATTGTCAAGATGTAGTGAAGCATATTTAAAAAAAAATTTTTTATTGTAAAGTACAGCATAAAATTTATGCATTTTACATTTTTAAGTGTACAGTTCATTAAGGGTTTATTCATATTGTTATACAACAGATCTCCAAAACTTTTTCATATTGCAAAATTGAAATTCTGTACCCATTACAAAACTCCTTATTCCTTTCCTCCTGCCCCCAGCCCCTGGCAGCCACCATTACACTTTCTGTTTCTCTAAATTTGACTATGTTCAGGGTCTTATAAAAGTAGAATCATACAGTGTTTGTCTTTTGTGACGCTTTCTTTCACTTAGCATAATGGTTTCAATGGCCATCCATGTTGTAGCATATGACAGGATTTCCTTCCTTTTTAAGGCTGAATAATATTCCATTATATGGATATACCATTTTTTGTTTATTTATTCATCCATTGATAAACACTTGAGTTGTTTTTACCTCTTAGCTCTTGTGAGTAACGCTGCAGTGAACATGGGTGTGTAAATACCTCTCTGATGCTGTTTTCAGTTCTTTTGGATATATACCCAGAAGTGGCATTGCTGGATCTTTTTTTTTTTTAATTTTTTTTTTAAAGATTTTATTTGTTTATTTGTCAGAAAGAGAGAGAACACAAGCAGGGGGAGGGGCAGAGGGAGAAGCAGGCTCCCCGCTGAGCAGGGAGCCCGATGCGGGACTCGATCCCAGGACCCTGAGATCATGACCTGAGCTGAAGGCAGATGCTTAACTGACTGAGCCACCCACGCGTCCCGGCATTGCTGGATCTTATAGTAATTCTATTTTTAATTTTTTGAGGAATAACCATACTGTTTTCCATATCACTGTGCCATTTTACAGGCCCACCAACAGTGTACAAGGGTTCCAATTTCTCCATATCCTTGCCACACTTGTAGTTTTGTAGTAAGTTTTTTTTTAAAGATTTTATTTATTCATTTGAGAGAGAGACAGAGAGAGCACACAAGTAGGGGGAGAGGCAGAGGGAGAAGCAGGCTGTCTGCTGAGCCAGCCAGGAGCCCGATGTGGGGCTCAATCCCAGGACCTGGAGATCATGACCTGAGCTGAAGGCAAGAAGCCCAACCATCTGAGCCACCCAGATGCCCCTGTAGTAAGTTTTGAAATCAGAAAGTATGAGTCCTTGTGATGGTTAATTTTACGTGTCAACTTGACTGGGCTAAGGGGATGCCCAGATATCTGTGTCTATAAGGATGTCTCTGGAAGAGATTAGCATCTGAATAGGAGACTGAGTAAAAAAGATGGCCTTAACCAGTGAGTTGGGTATCATCCAATCCGCTGAGGCCTTGAGTAGAACAAAAGGGGGAAGGAAGGACGAATTAGTGCTCTGAGAGCTGAGACATCCATCTGCTCCTGCCTTCTGATCTCAGAGCTCCTAGTTCTTGGGCCTTCAAACTCATACTGAACTATACCACTGGCTTTTCTGGTTCTCTGGTAGATGACAGATCCTGGACTTCTTGGCCTCCATAATCGCATGAGCCAGTTCCTGTAATAAATGTCATATGTGCGTCTGTGTGTGTGTATATACATATATGTGTGTTTGTGTATATATCTCTTTCCTATTGGTTAAGTTTCTCTGAAGAACTCTAGTACGATCTTCCAGTTTTGTTCTTTTTCAGGATTGGTGGCTATTTGGGGCTCTTTGAAATTCCATACGAATTTCAGGATGGATTTTTCTGTTTCTGCAACAAATGCTATTGGGATTTTGATAGGTATTGCATTGAATCTGTAGATAGCTTTGGGAGTATTGGTGTTTTAAAAACATGTAAGTTTTCTAATCTATGAACATGGGCTAACTTCCCATTTATTTGTATCTTTAACTTCTTACAGAAGTGTGTAGTTTTCAGTGTACAAGTTTTTCACCTTTTTGTTTAGGTTTATTTGTAAGTTTAATTCTTTCTGATGCTATTGTAAATTGAATTGTTTTCTTTTTGGATTATTCACTGTTAGTATATTGAAATGCAACTGATTTTTGCATGTGTTAATTCTGTATATGCAAATTTGCTGAATTTACTTATTCTGTCTTTTTTTTTAATCTTTAGAGTTTTCTGCATATGAGATCATGTCATCTGTGAACAAAGACAATTTTACTTATACCTTTTCAATTAGGAGGCCTTTTCTTTTTGTTGCCTAATTGTTCTGGCTATGAATGTTGAAAAGAAGTGGTAAGAGCAAGCATCCTTGTTTTGTTTCTAAACTTAGAGGAAAAGCTTTCCATCTTTCACCATTTTGAGTATGATGGTAGCTGTGGGCTTTTCACATACGGTCTTTATTATGTTGAGGTACTTTCCATCTATACTTAATTTCTTGAGAGTTTTATCATGAAAGTGTATTGAATTTAGTCATATTCTTTTTTTGCAACAGTTGAGATGATCACTGAGTTATTTTCCTTCATTCGTTACTGTGTGATGTATTGCTTCATCAATTTTCATAGGTTGAATCATCCTTGAATTCCAGGAGTAAATCCCTCTTGTTTATGGTGTATAATCCTTTTAATATGCTGCTGAATTCATATTGCTAGTATTTTGTTGAGGATTTTTATATCAGTGATCATAAGGGGTATTGGTCTATAGTTTTCTTGTAGTGTCTTTGCTGGCTTTGGTATCAGGGTATTGGTGGCTTCACAGAATGAATAAGTTTTTCCTCCAATTTTTTGGGAAAAGTTTGAGAAGGATTAATGTTAGTTCTTTAAGTGTTTGGTAGAATTCATCAGTGAAGCTATTATTAGATCTAGGACTTTTCTTTGCTGGGAGATTTTTTTTTTTTAATTAAAACTTTACATTCCAGTATTGTTAGCATACAGTGTTAAATTAGTTTTAGGTGTACAATGTAGCGATTCAACAGTTCTGTACATTACTCCGTGCTCATCACAATAAGTATACTCTTTAATCCCTGTCACCTTTTTCATCCATCCCCTTACCCATCTCCACTCTGGTAACCATCAGTTCGTTCTTTATATTTGAGAGTCTCTTTCTTGGTTTGTCTCTCTCTTTTTTTCCCTTTGTCATTTGTTGTTTTTTAAATTTCACATATGAGGGAAATCATACAGTATTCGTCTTTCTATAGCTTATTTCACTTAGCATTATACTCTCTGGCTCCATCCACGTTGTTGCAAATGGCAAGATTTTGTTCTTTTTATGGATGAGTAATATTCCATTACATATGGTGTATATATATACCACATCTTCTTTATCCATTCATATATCGATGGACACTTGGGCTGGTTCCATAACTGGCTATTGTAAATGCTGCAATAAACATGGGAGTGTATGTATCCCTTTGATTTTTTTTCTATTTTTTGGGTAAATACCCAGTAGTTTTGCTGGAAGATTTTTGATTACTGGTTTAGTCTCCATACTAGTTATAGGTCTATTTGGGTTTTCTCTTTCTTCATACTCAGTTTTGTTACGTTGTATGTTTCTAGGAATTTATCCATTTCTTCAAGGTTATCCACTTTATTGGCATATAGCTGTTCATAGTACTTTTTAATAATCCTTTTTATTTCTGTGGCATTGGTTCTAATGTCCCCTCCTTCATTTCTGATTTTGAGTCTTTTTTTTTTTTTAGTTCATCCAGACAAGGGGTTTGTCAATTATGTTGATCTTTTCAAAAAACCACCTCTTAGCTTTATTGATTTTTTTTTCCTATTTTCTATTGTTTTTTTTTTTAATCTCTGCTTTGTATATTAATTCATTCCTCCTGCTTGTTTGGGGTTTATTATGTTCTTCTTTAGTTCCTTAAGAATGAAGCATATTTTTTAAAATTACTTATAGTCTTTAAGATAGCAGTGAACTTATAGCTATCATCGTTAAAAGGAATCAGTTTTCAAAATATACAGAGGCCACAATTATTATTTCCATTTTGCTTTTTTTCTTTGTCCCCGTAATTTTGGGTTTGACTTCTGTTGTCCAATGGAGCAAAACAAATTACTGGCCCAATATGCACATTGCACACACCTCCCTGTAGAGGCTGTGTTCTCCCTGACTAGATCTTCTTTCCTTCCACTCTTGCTATCAAAATAACATCACTGTTTCCATCTAACTCTGGCAGTTGAAGTTATTCTGAAAACATACATAAGTGTGGTAGACAGAATAATGGCCCCCAAATATGTCCATGTTTCAATCCCTAGAATCTATGAATATGTTGGATTACATGCCAGAGAAAAATTAAATTTCTTACTTAACTAACTTTGACTTGGAGAGATTATCCTGGATTATCTAGATGGGCTCAGTGTAATCACAAGGGTCCTTAAACAGGGAGGAGGGAGGCAGAAGAGTCAGAGTCAGAGAGGGACTTGAAGATGCTACACTCCTGACTTTGAAGATGGAGGAAGGGGGCTGCAAGCAAATGAATGCAGGCAGCCTTTAGAAGCTGGAAAAGGTGAGGAAATGGATTCTTCCCTAAAACCTCCAGAAGGGATACCAACACCTTGCTTTTTAGCCCAGCAAGACCCATTTGGGACTTCTGTAAGATAATAAGTTTGTGTTGTTTTAAGCCATTCAGTCTGTAGCTATTTGTTACGGAAGCTTTAGGAAACCAAGACAATGAGTTAAAGATTTAGATTAATTCGTGATTGCTGATGCCACAGTGGGTAATGAACAAGCTGAAGGTTGAGCTGAAGTCAGACTTTTCACCTCACAGAGCAGAGCCATTAAGAATGCAGTGTCAGGGGCGCCTGGGTGGCTCAGTCGTTAAGCGTCTGCCTTCAGCTCAGGCCATGATCCCAGGGTCCTGGGATCGAGCCCCGCATCGGGCTCCCTGCTCGGCGGGAAGCCTGCTTCTCCCTCTCCCACTCCCCCTGCTTGTGTTCCCTCTCTTGCTGTGTCTCTCTCTGTCAAATAAATAAATAACATCTTAAAAAAAAAAAAAAATGCTGTGTCAGCGTCCTGAATTAAAGGATGTAAATTAGTCATGGTCGGAAAAGAAGGGCTCTTTTTAAAATGAGCTAACTATCTCCAGATTTCAGTTGGTTTATCATAACAGTCTTTTAAAAGTTGTCATTTAATTAGCGTATGATAATGAAATACTTATTGTTTACCACATGCTAGACACAGTGTCAAGCACTTCCTTATATTGTTTAAACTTGAGAAGTATTATTGTGGTTTATAGATGAAAACTTGCACAAGTTCTCAGAACTACTAAAGGATAACCAGGGTACAGACTCGAGCCTTTCTGATTCTAGAGCCTGTGCTCTTAACTGGTATGCTGTAGAGAGGAGCAGCATCATACTGGAGTACACAAACCTTTCATAGAAAAGGACTGCCCTCTGCTGCCTGCTTCTACCAGCAGACTAGTCCTGAGGGGTGGAGGATACAGGCCTTGGGGTGCTAGAGCACTGTCTTCTAGCCTCCAAGTTGTGTTACCCTATGAGTACTGATTGCCCTGCCCCAGTGCTGTGCCTGAGGGCATCTCTACCCCTCTGTGGAATGTATATGTTTTCTCAAGAGTTTGTGGGAAGCTCTAATGCTCAGAGCTACACAACTGTGAATCTCTTTTTGAGACTTTGTTTTGATTAGTATATTAAGCTACTTGTGCTAAGACATCCAAATTAACAATGGTTGAAGCAAGAAAAATTATTTTTTCTCATATAAAAATTCTGTTCTATAAAGTCCTCAGGGCCTAGGTACTCTCTCTTTCCTCTGCTGTCCTTGGGGTATCACTCCTGTCTGCATGGTCTGAGATGGCTCACCATCATAGCTGTCTTCCAGCCCTCAGGATAAAAAAAAGGCATGTTAAGGATGTGACCTGGATATGGTACACTTCAGCTCTTGTATTGGCCAGAACTTAGCTGCAGCAAGGCTGGAGAAGATGCTCTTTAGTAGTCACACAGTAGCTCAGAATGCTGCCATCCTGGGGATAAGGGAAAATGAGTTTGGGGGTAGCCAGCAGGCTCCGCATATCGGGCCCACTGTTTCTCACTTTTCTGGTTAAAAGTGTCAGTTGTGGTTTGGCTGTTCTGCGGCCATATCATGGCAGGGCGCCCTCGGCTGCTGTTGAAAGAGAAAAGCTGTTATGCAAGAACGTGCACCGCATAGTCCTGTTTGTGTATACATATGTGTGAAAGTCTGAAAGAATACTAATAGTGCTTTTATCTCGGGATGAGTAGGGGCAGCTTTTATTATCTTATGCTTTTCTGCATGTTGATTTAAGTGGGAGAAATTAGTAGAACTCTTTCACTTTGAAAAGGGGAGGCCCTTGTTTTGACCTTATCACATAGGGAATGTTGAGATCCTGATCTCCCTTTTGTCTGTGTGGTGAGTCTGAAAATGTTTGTGAAGATCCCTCTCACAGAGCTTCTGGGAGAGAGTGTTCTTCCTAGGTACATGTCCTCCCCCAAGCCTGAGAGGCTGCTGAGGTCCAGCCTCAGCAAGGAGCAGTGGACTGTGGCCCACCAGGCCCAGGTGGAGAGAGCCATTGTGGGTATCAGGTTAACAAAGCCCTAACGCTCACCCTGAGAAAGTGCCTTGGCACCACTGAGAGCATCGACAATAGGCCTGGATGGTCCTTTGTTACTACTCACTAAGACCTTTATGTTCCTGGACTTTCTCCAAATAGCAGAATGATTACTCCTTTTATCCCCTCATATTTAATTTCATAGTTCACTAAAATCATAAATAGTTGATAAGAGCTTTAAAAAACTCTATTTTTCCTCTTCTTTTCCCTTCCTGAAGAATTTAATCCAAAAGCCATTAGGTGAGACTGAGCAAACTTGGCATCTGCCGGGAAGACAGGTGGTGGGGTGTTGGGAGAGAGTTGTGGATAGTAGCAATATTACATCATGGAGTGTCAGAGCCTGGGCATGGTAAACAGGGGGTTTATGTTGAAGGACTTCCTGGCACAGTGTGTTGAGGCCTAATTAGGTGGAGGGAAGATGACGTCCATGTTGGGGGTGTAGTGGCAGTGGCCTGTCATGGGTGGGGTAAGGATGGCATCCACATGGGGTGTGGCCTAGCCCAGGGCAAGGGGTCATAGCCTTAGTGAGGGGAAGGGAAGCATTATGGGGTGGAGGTAGACAGCAGCAAGAGGAGATTGGTTATATACAGGAGACCAATCATGTAAGTAAATATATTGTGAATAATAGGACTCAGGCTTCTCATTATCTGAGAAAGGGAGTACAAATAGAGAAAGGAAACTAGATTGAACCCTGTGGTATACGATTAGAATTGGAATTGTTTGTATGAATTCATGGTTCCCAACATCTGTACATAATAGGAATGTAGATATAAGTGAGTATATGTCTATCTCCATCTTTGCCCATTGAGACAGACTGGGAGCAGTAACACACCAGTATACTTGAGCACATCCAGCACCTTGGACTTCGTTTTTATTTTATTTATTATTTTTTTTTAAGATTTTATTTGTTTATTTGTCAGAGAGAGCGAGAAAGCACAAGCAGGGGGAGTGGCAGGCAGAGGGAGAGGGAGAAGCAGGCTTCCCACTGAGCAGGGAGCCCGACGTGGGGCTCAATCCCAGGACCCTGGGATCACGACCTGAGCCGAAGGCAGACGCTTAACCAACTGAGCCACCCAGGTGCCCCTGGACTTCGTTTTTAAATACCATTTACCATGCAAGGAAATGGCTGGGGGAAATGGTTGATTTTAAGGGCAAGGAGGAACCTGTAACATCTTAGGCTGCCAGAAAGTAAGCAGATGTTCAAAGGGTGATGGGAACATGTCAGAAGCACATAGAGAATACAAACCATCTTGAAAGGACTCCTCCTGGCCCAACTTCGAGCAGCTTGAGCATCAGAATAATTAACGTAATGGGTTTTAATGACTTCCAAATAGGAATCCAGGGATCCATATTGATATAAATAAATGAGTAAATGGATTAGGAATGGACTTTTACATAGTCTGGAGGTACCGCTCTGTAAAGTATAGGGAGAAAAACAGTGACTTGTTCAGTTGAGAAGCTTGGCAGACACCACTATAATCAAGTGATCAGAATGAGCCTCGCCTAAGTACTGGGACAAGTTGAAATCATGTGCCTAACCTGATAGGATACAGTGTGACAAACGTAGCGTCATTTCTGTCATAGTCCTGCCGAAGCATAGCCTGCATTTATTCATCAGGAAAACAGACAAACTCTGTTTTATAGGGACACCCTATAAAATAATTGGCCCGTAAGTTATTCAAAAGTATCAAGATCCTGAAAGTTGAGGAAAGACTGAGGACCTGTTTCAGAATGAAAGAAACTAAAGAAGTATAACTAAATGCAACACGTGATTCTGGACTTGATCCTTTGAGTATAAAGGACAATTTTGAAATAGTTACAGAATATGAGGATTAAATGGTGGTACTGTATCAGAGTCAGTTTCCTGATTTTGATGGTTGAGCTTTGGTCCTTGTTCATAGGAAATACTAAATTATTCAGGGGTGATAGAACCTCATGTCAGCAGCTTACTTTCAAATGGTTCAGAAAAACTTGCTTTATATTATTCTTGCAATTTTTATGTCAGAATAAAAAGGTTTTAAAAATTATATCCTCCATATATATATGGCTCTAACATGTCAGCCAAGGTCCCAAGAGAGACTAAAGCCTTAATGACATGACATATTTTGTATGTAATAATTTATTTCTTATACCTCTAGAATGGAGTTAGCTTGGGGGAGAACTGAGAGAAATGGTCACTGAAATAATTTTTCAGGAGGTTTACTTGTCTCATGAAATTCCATTTGAAAAAAGCCAGAAGCGGTGATGGGCATTAAGGAGGGCAAGTGCTGTAATGAGCACTGAGTATTACATACAACTGATGAATCACTGAGCTCTATGTACCTCTGAAACTAATAATACACTAAATGTTAATTAATTGAATTTAAATAATTTCTTTTAAAAAGGAAAAAGCCAGAGAGAATAATAATAAACATCCATTAACCCAAAACCCAACTTAAGAAATTATCATTTAGGGGCGCCTGGGTGGCTCAGTCGTTAAGCGTCTGCCTTTCAGCTCAGGTCGTGATCCCAGGGTCCTGGGATCGAGCCCCACATCAGGCTCCTTGCTCAGCAGGAAGGCTGCTTCTCCCTCTCCTGCTCCCCTGCTTGTGTTCCCTCTCTTGCTGTCTGTCTCTCTCTGTCAAATACATAAAATCTTAAAAAAAAAAAAAGAAAAGAAATTATCATTTATAACCACATTTGAAGTTTCCTGTGTGACCCTCACTATCCCTCCCCTCCAAGAGATAATCACTATCCTGGATTTTTTATTTATCATACCTATGTGTTTGTTTTTGTTTTTGTTTTTAATAGTTTGGTCGTGTTTATGTTTTACACCCTTTTATCTTTGGTAAGCTCCTTGTGCCAACGACCTCATCTTTCTCCTCTATAAGTTTAGTAATTGATATTAGAGCAGTATATGTAATAGGCACTTGATTGTACTTGGCAGAAAAAGTTCTGTGGTCACTAAGTGAAGAGACAAGCCATTTTGTAAGTTTGTAAAGAGCTTTGAAACGTGAATCTGTTTTCATCCACTATTGAACACCACAAAAGGTAAGTTATTTTCATTTGCGGAAGATGCCAATGACATTGTTTTAGTGCTGGTGCCCTAAATCTTAAATATTTAGCATATAAATGACCATCACAGATGTTAAGTTAGGTTTTTATGTTGCTAATATATACTTAGAAAATGGCTTGCATATGCACCTTGCTTTTGTTACTCTTTTAGTTCTAATGGAGTAAATCTAGTATGTTTTATCACTTGGAATGTTGGACATTACCACAAGTAGTTCTGAAATATAACTTTATATGGGCTTTGGACTAACACCTTTTTAAAAAAAAATTATAACAGAAATCAACCAGACTATTATGAAGTGGTTTCTCAGCCCATTGATTTGATGAAAATCCAACAAAAGCTAAAAATGGAAGAATATGATGATGTTAATCTGCTGACTGCCGACTTCCAGCTGCTTTTTAACAATGCAAAGGCCTATTACAAGGTAAGAAAGCATCACATTTGGAAGGTATTCAATTTGATAATAGTTTGGCTTTTTAATTTTTATCAGTTTAGTAGTGTAAGTAGTGTGGTTTGAGTTTGTTACTTTTTTTTTTTTTTTTAAGATTTTATTTATTTATTTGAGACACAGAGATAGAGAGAGCATGAGCAGGGAGAGAGGCAGAGGGAGAAGGAGAAGCAGGCTCCCCACTGAGCCAGGAGCCCAATGTGGGGCTCGATCCCAGGACCCTGGGATCATGACCTGAGCCGAAGGCAGATGCTTAACCATCTGAGCCACCCAGGCGCCCCTGAGTTTGTTTCTTTTAAGAAAGACTGAAGATTCGTATAGCATGTACCATTTTTGTTTCTTCTGTGTCTGCTCAGATCTTTTGTCCATTTTTCTCTCGAGTTGTTTGTCATTTTCATATTTATTTCTAGAAGTTTTTTTATATATTCTAGATACTAATCCTCCTTGGTTATATTTGTTACAAGTATCTTCTCCCACTATGAGGCTGTTTTCATTCTTCATGGCGTCTTGATGAAACAGAAGAGTATTTTAACATAATCCAATTTCTTACTCTTTAACTTTGTGGTTTGTCATTTGTGTCTTGTTTTCAGAAATCCCTATTATCCAAAGATTATAAAGACACTTCTATATTTTCTTCTAAAAGTTTAATAGTTTTGTCTTTCACATACAAGCCTTTACGGCAGCTCAGGTTGGTTTTTGTGTCTTCTGTGAGGTAGGGTTCAATTTTGTTTCCTAAAAGAGATAAGCGGCACCTTGAAGTGGCCACATTCTCTTCACAGTCATGTGCACCAGCAGTGCTCACAGTGCTTCCATGTCCTCATGGTCCCTTTCCAGCCCTTTAGTCTGTTCCTTTTGTTTTGCCAAGTTTAGCTATTACTCGGCTCTTTTATTCTTGCCTTAATTATTATGGCTTTATAATTCTTTATCAGGTAAGGAAAGCACTGGTTATTGATTATTCTTGGTCCTTATACATTTATATGTTATGTTAAGTCAGCATGAAAAAAATTGTTGGAGGTTTTATTGGAATTGCATGGACTCTGTGGATCAGTCCTATTTTGGAGAATTAACGTAATTGTGATACTGATTATTCCAGTCTTTGAATTTGATGTGTCGTTGTCTTTTTAAGGCTTCTTTAAGTTATTTTAGCAAAGCTTTAGATGTTTTTTTATTAAGAGTCTGCAAAATGGAAAGTGTTACTAGATTTGTTCTTAATACTGTGTAATATGTGTATGTATATATATTTTTTTAATTGAGAATAAATTCACAGTCATTTATTTATTTTTTTGGCGGGTGCCAATTCTTTTTTTTTTTTTTTATGTTCAGTTAGCCAGCATATAGTACATCATAAGTTTTTGATGTAGTGTTCAACGATTCATTGCAGTTGCATATAACACCCAGTGCTCATCACCACACATGCCCTCCTTAACACCCGTCACCCGGTTACCCCATTCCCCCACCCCCTTCCCTTCTGTCACAGTCTTTTAAAGTGTAGATTCAGGGGTGCCTGGGTGGCTCAGTTGGTTAAGTGTCCAACTCTTGACATCATCTCCAGTCTTGATGTCAGGATTGTGAATTGAAGCCTGTGTTGGGCTCCACACTGGGCATGGAGCCTACTTTAAAAAAATAATAATAAATAATAAAGAAAGCATACAATTCAATAAATTCAGGGTTTTTGGCATATTCACAAAGTTGTGCAAGCATCACTAATACCTAATACCTAACTCCAGAATATTTTCATTACCCCAAAAAGAAAACCATACCCATTAACAGGTGCTCTCCATTTCCCCTCCTCCCTGCCTCTGACAACCACTAATCTATTTTCTTGTGGATTTGTCGTTCAGCACATTGCATATAAATGGAATCAAATACTATATGGCCTTAGGTGACTGGTTTCTTTCACTGAGCAGGTCTTCGAGGTTCATCCTTTTTGTAGCATGTATTAGTACTTCATTCCTTTCTATGACTGGATAATGTGCTATTATATGGCTGTACCACACTTTGTTTATCCATTTCCCGGTTGATGGGCATTTGGGTTCTTTCTACTTTTAGCTATAAAGGTGCTATAAATTTTGTGACTATGGCAAGGGTGCTGTTCATTGGATACAAGATTCTGTGTGTGTCCATCAGACCTAGCTTGTTAATTATGTTGCTAAAATCATTTATATCCTTACTGAATTGTCTGTACAAACTATTTACCAAATGCGGTGTTTTAAAATCTCTCACTTAGATGATGGATTTGTCTGTTTCTTCTTAATAACTCTGTTCATCTTTTGCTTTATGTATTTTAAAACTCTGCAACTGGGAGCATACAAGTTTAAAATTGTTATATTGTCCTAGTAAATTGAGTTTTTTTTGCATTATGTAGTATCATTAGTAATATCTTTTGTTTGAAGTCTGTTTTATCTGATATTAATATAGTTCTATCAGCTTTTATTTTTGTATTTATCTAGTTTATTTTTTCCCATTCTTTTCTTTCAACCTTTTCATGCTAACGCATCCTTGCAAACAGCATATGCGTGAATTTCTATTAATATACAGGTGATAATCTTTTTACCTGGAATTTCATCTCTTTACAGTTTTAGTAATAACATTATGTTCGGATGTGTTCCCGTCATCTACATTTCCACTTTATCTCATTTTGTAATCTTTTCTCTTGTTTTTCTTTCTGCCTTCTTTTGGTTTCATTTTGTTATTCCCTCTTATTTTCTCTATAATTTGGGGGTTGTAAAATCTGTTGATACCTCTTGGTTCTTATTCAGGAAGCTTTAATGTGCATAATTAACTTACCAAAGTCAAAAGTTAATCAGCATCTTTAAACCTCCTTCTAAACAATACAAAGACCTTAGAGTAATTCAACTCTGATCTATTTATGCTACTGATGTTTTGAATTTTAGTTCTGTCATGGCAGATTTTTTTTTTTTTAATTTATTTTGGGGGCGCTTGGGTGGTACGGTCAGTTGAGCATCCGACTCTTGATTTTGGCTTGGATTGTGATCTCAGGGTCCCTGGATCAAGCCCTGCATGGGCTCTGTGCTCAGTGGGGAGTCTGCTTGAGGATTCTCTTTCCCTTTCTCCCTCTGCCCCTCCCCCTGCTTGCATTCTCTCTCTCTTTCTCTCTCTCTTAAATAAATGAATCTTTAAAAAAAAAAAAGATTTTATTTAAGTAATCTTTACACCCAACATGGGACCTGAACTCACAACCCCAAGATGAAGAGTCATACACTCCACTGACTGAGCCAGCCAGGCACACCTGTTGTGGCAGATTTTTAATCCCATAAAATAATGTTACTGTTTTATTTAAAAAAAAATTTTTTTTAATGTTACTGTTTTATAGATAGTATTTGTTTTTACTCACATTCTTTTTTTTTTTTTTTAGTTTATTTATTTAAAGTAATCTTTACACACAGCATGGGGCTCAAACTCATGGCCCTGAGATCAAAAGTTGCATGCCGTTTTGACTGAGCCAGCCAGGTGTCCCTATTTTTTTTCTTTTATTGCCATCAAGAAGTCCTCTGTCAATATAATTTTAGTTCCTTTAAAGGTTAGCTATATTTTCTTTCTGGCTGTCTTTGGTGTCTTGTTGTCTCTTGTGTTCTACAGTTTCATGGTGATGTGTCTAGATATGAATATCTTTTTATTAGTATAGTCTGGGAATTATAGGGCTTTCTAAATCTTTGGATTGATGTTTTCCATCCTCCCTGAGAAGTTTGCAGCTGTTCTGTCTTTGCATGCTGCCCCTGCCGCACTCTCTCTCCTGCTAGAACTCTGGGTGTTCTGTTAGAGCCCTCTCACATCTTTGTCTCTCCTAACCTTTCATATTCCCCTTTTTAGTGCCTGTGTTGCTTTTTAGGTAATTTCTTTAGTTCTTCCAGTTTTCTTTGAAATCTGCTCTTAAACCACGCTATTGAGTTTTTACATTTTAATATTTATTTCGTGTTTTGGAAGTAGTTCCTTTTTCAGGGTTTCCTGCAATTTGCTTGTATTTTTCAATCCCATTGTTCCTTTAAAAATGTTCAACATACTTATTTTTCATTCTGTGGCAGACAATTTCAATATCTGAAATACTTGCATGTCTGATTTTGCAGTTATTTCTGCTGGCTTTCTTCTGTGTTTCATGAATTTTAACCTTGAGCTCATATTTCTTGGAACTTGATCTCTAGAGATTGTTTGAGGCTTAGATTGAAGTTGGGTTCATTCAGGGTAGTGTGTTGCTTATCCCAGGCACCTGGCCTGTCTTTGTTAGGGCTAGCGTATGATGAAGAGTTCTCGGAGGAGATTCATCCCATGCCTCTCCTCTCCCTGCAGTGCTATGGTTTGAGATAAGCACAAGTTGTTGTTGTGGAGGTTGAGGTGGGTAGTGTTGTTCCCGGGCATCACAGAAACTGAATTGTTTTTGAATTCCCACTTACATTGCAACTGTGGCCTTTGGAGTCCCAGCTTCTGGTGGGCCCTGCCCTTTATATCCTGTTCTTGCAGCCTCAGAGAACCTTGAAAGCTAAAGCTTAGGTTTATCTTGTCTTACAAAAGCCCTTGAGTGAATGTCAGCTTCAGTGTTCTGCATGGTCATCTGGGTTCCTGCTTTTACTCTAATCTTGCTCTTTTGAGCATTGCTTTCTCCTTATTGGCAGCACCTGGATGCATTTTGAAAGTTTTGTTTTTATTTATTTTAACATTGCTTCCAGCATTGCTTTTACTGAAAGTTTCAATTAGAGTTTATCCCTGTTATACTTTAGGAAAAGAAGTCTTTAAATAAAGTATTTAATACTAGCTAGCTATTTATTAGCTTAAAAATAGAAGTAATATTAGAACAATCAGTAGTTTCTATCCTTTACACTTAAAGCCCTTAAACTAGGTCTTATCTTTTAAATTGCGTGTCTTCATGTATGAGTAATTAGTGTTAATTTTTTTTAAAGATTTTAGTTACTTATTTGTCAGAGAGAGCGCACAAGCAGGGGGAGTGGCAGGTAGAGGGAGAAGCAGGCTCCCCACTGAGCAAGGAGCCCGATGGGGGACTCGATCCCAGGACCTTAGGATCATGATCTGAGCCAACGGCAGACGCTTAACTGACTGAGACACCAGGTGTCCCTATTAGTGTTAATTTAACAAATCATTTATCTTTTGCCTCAAATATTAAAGTAATGAGATAGTAGGGCATAAATAAATAAATTAATATGATTTCAAAATGCCTTTAAAACATATGCTTAGTTCTTCAGAAGAGGAATTGAGGCCCATGTGTCTTTTAATCATAAAGATTTCTAAATTTGGGGGCCCCTGGGTGGCCCAGTCATTAAGCATCTGCCTTCGGCTCAGGTCATGATCCCAGGGTCCTGGGATTGAGCCCCGCATCGGGCTCCTTGCTTGGCAGGAAGCCTGCTTCTCCCTCTTCCACTCCCCCTGCTTGTGTTTCCTCTCTTGCTGTGTCTCGCTCTGTCAAATAAATAAATAAAATCTTAAAAAAAAAAAAAAGGTTTCTAAATTTGTGGTAGGGGGTTCAACATTGTTTTAGAATGCTAGTCTCTGCTGGAGCAGAATACTTTAAAAGTCACTGATTCACAATAAAATACTAAAGTGATATTTTTTCTCTTGTCTTTGTTAATTTGTACAGCCAGATTCTCCTGAATATAAAGCTGCTTGCAAACTCTGGGATTTGTACCTTCGAACAAGAAATGAGTTTGTTCAAAAAGGAGAAGCAGATGATGAAGATGATGATGAAGATGGGCAAGACAATCAAGGCACAGTGACCGAAGGAGTAAGTGTGTAGCTGGGATGAGTAAGATGGACCATTAGGAGGTGGACAAGGCCCTCCTGCCTGTGATTTCTTCTGTGCTGTTATGGGAAGCTGGGCTTCCTGTGGAGTTGTGTTGGTAACTAGGAGGGTAAGGGGGCATACGACCAGAGAACCCCACTCCCAATTACAGGGGATCCTAGGACATCCTGGACAGTGTTGCCATGAGTTGCTCTTACATTAATGTATATTTCCTGCTCAGTTTTAAGGAGAACCTTCATATTATCAAGGACTGCTCCAGTATTGCTGGATTGAGATATAAGAGTAGTCAGTGTGGGGCGCCTGGGTGGCTCAGTTGGCTGAGCGACTGCCTTCGGCTCGGGTCATGATCCTGGAGTCCCGGGATCGAGTCCCGCATCGGGCTCCCTGCTCGGCGGGGGATCTGCTTCTCCCTCTGACCCTCTTCCCTCTCGTGCTCTCTGTCTCTCATTCTCTCTCTCAAATAGATAAATAAAAATAGAATCTTTAAAAAAAAAAAAAAAAAGAGTAGTCAGTGTTATGATTAAATGTTGGAGAGTCATTGGAATCGCTTTAGGAATATTTTTTTGTAGATTATGCTGCTGCTGTTCCTAGAACATGCCAAATGAGCTCCTGCCTCTAGAATTTTGCAATTACTCTTCTTCTTAGAACGTGCTTCCTTTGGCTCTTTCTGTGACTGGCTCTTTTTCATGATTCTGATATCACTTAAAATAATGACAGCTAGGAGTGGACCTTCCTGACCACCTGTCTAAATTGTTTGCCCCGTACCCCTCCTTTCCCATCATCACATCACTCTGTTCTGTGGTCCTCAGTCTTTTGTTACTATATGTGAAATAACTTGTTTGTTTACATGTTTATTTTCTTTCTTCTTCCAAAGAGAATGATAGCTGCACCAAAAACACCACCTTATTCACCTATTCCTGGCATCTAAAACTGTGCCTGGTATGTAGGTACTGATAAATACTTGATGAATGAACACACATATTTAAAAAAGGAAGAAGGATAATAAAAGTAAGGACATCTCTCTTCTGTAGCTAAATAGTGAGACACCCAAAGCAGAGCATTCCCTTTTCTTCCCTAAGTTAACCTAAATAGACCCTCTCCTGAAACTTCAACACGGAAAAAAGAAGTGGTCAGTGAGTTTCTTAAAAATGTAAATGCTTCGGGGCACCTGGGTGGCTCAGTCAGTTAAGCATCCGACTCTTAGATTTGGCTCAGGTCGTGGTAATGGAGCCCTGCATTGGTTCTGTGCTCAGTGTGGAGTCTGCTTAAGATTTTCGCTCTCCCTCTGCCTCCCCACCACTCACACACCCACGTGCACTCACTTTTTCTCTCGCTCTTAAAAAAAAAAAAAGTAACTACTTCTTGGAGTCTCAAAATGTAGTTCTTAGGTACCTTGTCAATTTCTTTCTAGCAGTTAAATGATTAGAATTAGGTAGAAGGCAATTAACCAGGGATTCCCTGGAATTTTACTCTCTGGTATTAATATAGGAACAGCAATTTACCCCATGCTTTCTTGGGCAGAATATTACCTACAGAGGGCTCAGTCTTATAGGCCTCCAGGGTTCTAGTCAAAAAATGAAACCGCCTGCATTTAGGACTTGCCTGTGTTTCTTTGGTAAGAAATTGGGAGGATCTTGCACCTTCATATTTATACCTCCCAGGGCTGCTTCTTGGCCCTCAGTTCTTGTGAAGGGAGAGGGAATTTTCAAGCTTCTCATTTTTAAATTCAGAATGATTTCCTTGGAGTTTTCCTAGTTGTGGAAATACCTTGTATGAATGCATTCACACACCATGTTCTAGGTCATCTGCAACACGTGTTTCCAAAGTAGCTGGTTGGGTTGGGAGGAGAGGAATCTTGGGTGCAGAATATACTCTTCGCTTTTTGAAGCTAACTCTGTGGTACTGTGTTTTAGCCAGGAAGTAAATGACTGAAGCATGGATATTTTTAATCTGCTTTCATCAGTGTTTTGTTGGTTCTCTAAGCTTATGTGGTTGGGGACTCTCAGCTAATCACATGTTTTATTTGTTAAGTATTTGTTATGTGTCTGTTACTGCCAGGTACTGTGCTAGGCTAAGAAATGTTAGTGCTCTCTCTGTGGAGTTAATGCTGGACCTTAAAATTGAGACTGTACCAAATAAAAAAGACCTGTTAGATGAGGACACAAATACCAGTGCTTTTATGATTTGAATGAGAAATACCACTAACCTTTCTTTTATATGCACAAAACATGGTTTGGACATGAAGTACATTTTCTAGAACTCTTTTTTTTTTTAAGATTTATTTATTTATTTTAGAGAGAGAGAGTTAATGTGGCAGGGAGGGGCAGAGGGAGAGAGTCTCAAGCAGACTCCCCACTGAGCATGGAGTCCAACACGGGGCTCGATCTCACAAACCCCAAGATCATGACCGGAGTCAAGAGAGTTGGGTGTTTAAACAGTTGAGCCACCAGGTGCACCCTTTTTCTATAACTCTTAACTCAAACATGCCATTGCTCACTGTAGAAACCAGCTGCAGACTCAGACCCTTCCTGACCAAGTACTGTTTGGGGCATATACTTTCCCATGTTGAAATAGTGACGAAGGTAGGAGCAAGTCAGCCAGTCTGCAGGGCAGAAGTAATGTGCGTCATTTGATTTAATCTCCATTCACTTTTGAGATAGCTTGAATTCTGTCATTAGATCTGACGGAGTACCCCATGGGTAGAAGTGTGTATTTCCAGCTTTACATACATCCTTGTTCTAACAGAATATTAGGACTTCAGTAGATAGGAACAGCGATGTAGAGAGAGGTATCATGGGACATGTTTTCTCTGTCTCAGTTGCTCAGACCCTTAAAAGGTTTGTATTTCCATCATTTCATATATATGGCACTTGAATTTCACTGTTACAGTGTTTACTGTGGAATAGAGTTCAGTAAAAAGGCCTGATCCAAGGGATTTAGTTACTGAAGTAACATAAAGAGCCTCCTTAGTTTCACATATGCCATTCTGGGGATACAAGCCCCATGTCCAACATCAGAGTGTTTCTGTGGGATTCTTGAAACTTACACTCAATAAGTACTGTGTACAAGTTGCTTTTTTGAATTAACTTTAACATTTTAGCATGGATTTTTGGATTTCTCTCACAGTCCTTCTCTCTCCTTTCTCTTCTTCCTACTAACCTCCCCCCCCAGTCTTCTCCCAGTTACTTGAAGGAGATCCTGGAGCAGCTTCTTGAAGCCGTAGTTGTAGCCACAAATCCATCAGGACGTCTCATTAGTGAACTTTTTCAGAAACTGCCTTCTAAAGTGGTAAGTGATGCAGTTAAAGACAGGTGAGTTAAAGTGTGTCTTTGCTTGGTTTGGTTTTTGTTTTTCGGTACTTTAGAAAATTTATTAGTTTTTAGTAAATAAGGTAAAGTTAGTGAAAGGCATCAGAGGCTGCCAAGTGATCCTCCTTGAGGCCCCAGCAGCAAGCCTAAAGGTTGTGGGTTTAAAACAAAATTGTTTTTGATTGGTTATTCTTACTGTTTATTTGGGTTTTTTATTGTAAAATATATGTAAGATTTACCAATTAACCATTTTAAGTGTACAGTTCAGTTGAGGTGTAAGTACATTCATATTGTATGTCCATCTCCTTAATTAAAAACTCTGTATCCAGGGGCGCCTGGGTGGCTCAGTCGTTAAGCGTCTGCCTTCGGCTCAGGTCATGATCCTAGGGTCCTGGGATCGAGCCCTGCATTGGGCTCCCTGCTCAGCCAGGAGCCTGCTTCTCCCTCCCCCACTCCCCCTGCTTGTGTTCCCTCTCCCGCTGTCTCTCTCTGTCAAATAAATAAATAAAATCTTAAAAAAAAAAACCCCTCTGTATCCGTTAAACAGTAACTCCTCATAAAATAAAATAAAATACAAACAAACAAAAAACAGTAACCCCCCACTCCCTCTCAGCCCCCAGCTCCTGGCAATTACCATTCTGTGTTCTCTCTCTATAAATCTGACTATGCTAAGTACCTGATCATAAGAGGACTCATACAATATTTCTCCTTTTATATCTGGTTTATCTCATTTAGCATCATGTATTCAGGGTTCATCCAGGTTGTAGCGTGTGTCAGAATTTCCTTTTTAAAGCTAAATAATACTCCCATTGTGTGCATATACCACATTTTATTTGTCCATTCATCTGTTGATGGACATTGGGTTGTTTCCAAGATTGGTAATTCTTAAATAACAAAATAAGTACCTAAACTAAGCCTTTTATTTATAAAAGAGAAGAAACATTCTCTTTGCTCAGGAGACAGAATGAGAAGAAGATAAATGAGTTCTTCCTCTTTTAGTTCTGATCTCCTGGTGATGGAGAAGAGAGAGATCTAATAGTACTTATCTACTCCAAAGAGGAAGAGGTTTTCTAGACAAGTGAGACCCTTTGAAAGTGGTAGGGCCTCTCGTGGCTTCATAACTGAAAGGCAGTGAACATAGCTAAAGTTCCACGGTAGCACATGGAACTATAAAAATTTCCATGGCCTCAGCATTCTTGTATTTCTAGACAAGGATATACTTTTAGAAGTACTTCACTGTAGCACTTAACTCCATTGTGATCATTTACTTTTTATCTACCTCCCTCCATGTCCCTGAATTTAAGAATAAAGATTATGTCCGATTTTCTTTTGTGTCCTTGCCATGTAGTCGGAATCCAGCATGTCACTGGTGTGCAAGACCTGCTTATTGACTGATGAGTGGCTGGCAGCTTTCCCCATCAGTCATGGACAAGACTGGTTGTTTAGAGATGTGTCTTTACTAGTTGTAGGACAGTTATCACATTAGAAGTAAAGCATAAGGGCACCTGGCTGGCTAAGTCGGTAGAACATGCAACTCTTGACCTTGGTGTCATGAGTTCAAGCCCCATGTTGGGTGTAGACTTTACTTTAAAAAGTTAAAAAAACAAAACAAAAAACAAGCCTATATGACCACTACTATTCTAAGTGTGGATCTGATTAGAAAAATACAGAGATGATATTGGTTATATGTTTTAAATTTTAAGAAACTTCAAAAAATTAAATATAGAATTACCATATGATCCAGCAATTCCACTTTGGGTATATACCCAAAGTTACTGTTCAGTGGGTCTGGAGATTCAGTTTGGGAAGATGAAAAGTTTGGAAGATGGATAATGACAGTGGTTGCACAATAATGTGAATGTACTTAATGCCACTGAACCACACACTTACAGTGATTAAATGGTAAACCTTTTGTATATTTAACCACAATAAAAAAACTATAAGAAAGGAGTATAGTCTTTATTCACTTACTCTGCAGGAGATCATCACCATTGGTCAAGCCACCAAGGGAGACTTGAAGCAATAAAACATTAATATCCTGGGGCACCTGAATGGCTCAGTCAGTTAAGCATCCTGACTCTTGATCTCAGCTCAGGTCTTTATCTCAAGGTCATGAGTTCAAGCCCCGCATTGGGCTCCATGCTGGGTGTGGAACCTACTTTAAAAAAAAAAAAAAAACAGAACAAAAAAACCACATTAATATCCTGTTCCCCCATTCCAGGAGGGCTTTCGGGAACACCATGTAGCAAAAATTGGTTGGAAAAAGTGGGTTCCCATCGGTCCTTCAGGGTGTGACAGTTTTGAAAGTCAGCAAGGACTGAGACTGGGAGGGGAGGGCAGTTTTTACCTTTCCTTTATGAGCCCTTCCCAAGCTGGACTGGCTGAGTGGGAGAGGGGGATTGTGAATATGTAGACCCAACAGCTGGGATTACACTCCACCCCAGCCTGGGTGGCCTTGTTATAATTTGTCTTTTGAACTGTTTCTCAGAAGTAGAATTGGTAGAGAGAGAAAAGGGGTTCGATCCGAGCAAAGAAAAGAGTAGGGTTAAGAAAGTAAAGGTAAGCTGAGGAATCAGATGAGAGGAGGCATCCCTGAGATCATGCCTTCAGCCCAGTAACGGAGTGAAGGCTGTAGCCTCCTGCTTTTTGTTGTTGTTTGGGCTTCAAGGACTTGAACAGGTTGGAAGAGCTTGGAGAACCCACACCTCTCCCCCTTGAGTAGACCAACTTTTGATTTTTGGTCAGCTTCAATTGTTTTCTTCCAAGGAACCAAACCTGTAGAAATGACTTGGGGCAGTGAATGCACTGTGGCTTTGTTTTTTTGTTTTGTTTTGTTTTTAAAGATTTTATTTATTTGAAAGAGGACATGCTTTCAGGGGAGGGGCAAAGGTGAGGGAGAATCTCAGGCAGACTCCCTGCTGAGCACAGAGCACAGGCTCCATCTCACAATCCTGAGATCATGACCTGAGCTGAACTCAAGAGTCAGACACTTAACCAGCTGAGCCACCCAGACGTCCCTGCACTGTGGGCTTTGTGAAACTCTTCAAGAACATTCCTTTAACATACTTAACTTCTTTTCTTGTGATGAGATAATATTTGATAAGAAATCAGAAAGTGCTTATAATTTTATTTTATTTTTTTAAGATTTTATTTATTTTACAGAGAGAATGAGAGACAGAAACAGAGTATGAGCAGGGAGGAGGAGGCAGAGTGAAAGGGTGAAAGTGGAAGAAGTGAAAAAAGTGAAAGAAGCAGACTCCCCACCAAGCAGGAAGCCCAATGTAGGGCTTGACCTGAGCCAAAGGCGGACGCTTAACTGACTGAGCCATCCAGGAGCCCCTTTTACTTTGTTTCTTTAATGTAGTTCACTTGAACGTGTTTTAGTTTGCAAAAAATTAATTTGACCAAAGTAAGTAGAAGCATTAAGTTAAACATGAAGCTAACAAACTTGCAACCTGATGTAGTGTAGATCCTTAAGAATTTTATATGAGGGGTGCCTGGGTGGCACAGTCGGTTAACCATCCGACTCTTAGTTTTGGCTCAGGTCATGATCTCGGCGTTGTGAGATTGCGCTCTGTGTCAGGCCTCCACGGTCGTAAGTCTGTCTGAGATTCTTTCCCCCTCCCTTTTCCCCTGCCCCCATCCATTCGTGGGCACATGCGCTCTCTCTCTTTAAAATAAATAAATAAAATCTTAAAAAAATGATAATAGTAATAATTTTATATGAAATAGAATAATATTGTGTGATTTAGATTGCAAAATTAAAAGAGCTTATAAGAGCATTCAAAAACACTCTTCTCTTTCATTTCCAGGCATAAATAAGTTAAATTTAAAATTTGTGATTCTGTGAATTTAGAGTATTTCAAACATTAAATTATGGTGTATTAGTTGAATAATGGCAATTACCAAATGCTACCTGTAAACTTGTACAACATGCCCTTGTGTATTTCATGAAGCTTGTTAAAATTAAATTCTTTCTGCTTCAGCTGTAACAAAGAATATGCTGTACAGCTGTGTCTGTAGCCCTGCATCTGACAGAGCTGTTCAGTTGATTAACAGATTGTCAGCATGCTTCCTTGTTTTTTCATTACCTGGATACTTTCTCTTATTTAGCATGCCTGGGTTTTTGTCTTCCAGCAATATCCAGACTATTATGCAATAATTAAGGAGCCTATAGATCTCAAGACCATTGCCCAGAGGATACAGGTATGAAGATGACCATATGTAACCATATATGGTTTAGGGCAGATCAGCCTGAGGTCTTTTTTAGGGGCTTTTAGAAAACAGAACAGATGTCTTTGTAAGGGGTTATTAGCAATATAATAAACAGATCGGAGTGGTATAACTGATTATAGCTTTGGAGAAGGTAGCATAGTGTCCCTTTTGCATTTTATCTGTAGGGAGGAATGCAGAATTTTCGTTGGCATAGTAAATCTTGCTCTTAGGACAAAAATTAAAAAGCACTGGGCATAGACATTTCTGGTTGTGAAAGGCGCATTAGCAGTAAAGCTTTGTTGTTTATTCTTATCTGCTTCCAAATAGTTTTAGGATGTCTCAGAATAAATTACCTTCAGTATATGTTAGAGTGTAAGGTCAGTGAAAACAGCGACTTTGTTCTCTTCGAGTGCCTTCTTCCCTGTACCTCCAGCAATAGCAGCAGCTAATGCTCACCTGGCATTGCTAGGTGCCTGCTCTGTTCTAAGTGCTTTATATGTATTAGCTAATTCTGACAGCCACTCCATGAGGTAGATACTGTTTATTCCTGTTTTACAGGTGAGAAAACTGAAGCACAGAGATGGTAAGTCACTGGCTCAAGTCATCAGCTAGTAAGGAGAAGAGTTGGGATTTGAATCTAGACATTCTGACTCCACAGTCTGTGCTCTTAACCTCTGCACTATTACTGCCTCTCCACAGAGTAGGTGCTCAATAGATGTTTATTGAGTGAATGAATAATGAAATTTAAAACATGATGATTAGAAGTTAAAGAAGGTGTAGGGAGAAAGAGCTAAATTTTACCAGAAATCCAGTTTTTAGAGTTGTACCGACATGGGTTATTTTCCTAGCTCTGCTCCTTACTAGCTATATCTCTTCGGTCAGGTGACTTGCCTGCTTCTTCTGCTGTATGCTGAGTGTAGTGTTAACCAGTTTGCAGACTTGGAGGGGGCACTGATAATGGATGTGAAGCATCTCATAGAGCACCTATGGGATGTGGCCTTGGTCAGTGTGAGTTAGTGATCCTCCCAGAGTAAGGGTTTGGGGCTCCCAGTAGATAAAATGAAAAGGAAAATTTAATGTGTCACATGGTCTCATTGAGAAATGAGACTGAAGGCACGTGGTTTGCCAGCAGGGAGAAACTTCCTTGGCTTTAAAATTCTAGGAGAGTAGTAAAGAGTAACAGTGTAGTAATTACTGGTACCATAATACTCTTTCACAGAATGTTAAAATACAGATTCTCTAATGTATCACCTGGTTTTTAAGGCAGATCCCTAGCCACTACTGGTAATGACTTAGTCTCCTAAAACTCCTGGGGTTCCTAACATCTACCTTGGGGGAAGATGTTTTTGTAATACTGAAATTCAAATCAGATCTTTAGACACCCCTACCCCAGCCCCAGCCTTCTCTCTGAGACCTCTCTCCTTGTCTTGTCTGTTCTTCCTTCCAAAAGCCCCATAGAAGCACCTCCTTTTGCCATCACCCTAAGCAAGATCTTGTCCTCTTATGTCCAAATTATTGTAATAGTCTTTACTACTTCTCTGATGAAAGGCTCTCTGGTCCTTTCTGCATGTTGCTTCCTGACCCTAGTTTTCTTCCTATTTTATTCTTCTTCTCTATTCCACAGCCCAGAGCCTTGTCACTTGTTTCTAGTGCCTCCACTAGCAAATCAGTTTTGTAGCAGTGCAATGGAAACCGGCTCTAATAACTCCAGTAGAAGGGGAATCCGTGAAAAGAGTACCAGATAGCTCATGGAATTGTTGGGAAGGCAAGCTGGAGAACTAGCCTTAGGGAAGTAGGCAGAACTCAGGGACATCATGACACGGCTGAGGTCATGAAGTCTCTTTGTGGTGCCATTGCTGTTCCCAGTGTCATTTGCCACTGTGGGCCCTGGACGCCCACTGCTCCCCTCTGCTTTATTGCCCTTTGCGGGAGGTAGGAATGCATTTTTTCTATTCCTTGCCCTCGCTTTAGTCTCTCAAGGCTCAAGCATGAATTATCTCCCCTTGCCCTGGCTGCCAGGCTGCTAGCAGTGCTATTATCCACTTTTACCCTCTGTTGTGGAAAGTAGGTTCCTCCCTACTACCTGTACTAGGATTTTTTCCAAATAAAGAGGGTGCTCAGGGGTGCCCTGGCTGACTCAGTCACTGGAACATGCAACTCTTGATCTTGGGGTTATGAGTTTGAGCCCTATGTTGGGTGTAGAGAGTACTTAAAATCTTTAAGAAAAAAGAAAAGTAAACAGAGAGTGCTCACATGTTGGGTATCCTCACTTGGCAAATCACCAGCTACTCTCCTTTGCCTGGCTGTCTGGATTTTGCCTCATTTGTCCTTACCTATACAGCCTGTGCTTAATGGTTCTACCTTCCCTAATCCTCCACTCCACTTAATTTGGTTTTCTCAGTCTCTCTAGAATGTGTCTGTTCATTTCTATGTCCTTCTCATTAATCATGTGTACCTTTTGCTTAGAGTGTCTTCCTCTTTCCTTTTCTTTGAAAATTGAAGGCAGTTCTAAGTCTCCGTGGATTATTTGGGATTGAGTGAGCTTTAAGATGTGACAGCTCTAACATGGAGCCTAGTACATAGTAGGTACTCAAAAAGTGCAGCCTCTGTACTAGACTATTTTATCTGAAGTGGGCTATAAAACTAGAGGAGTTTTACTTCACACCCTTAAGTCCACCTTAATGCATTAATATTCATGAAGTACTTAGAACAGTGCTTGGCACAAAGTAAGCACTGTGTGTTTGCTGAATTAAACAACTTTTACATTATTTAATCTTTTAAAAATTATAGATTTTTGTGAAACTGACATAGCTCTGGTTGTTACCTATCTCAAAAACTTGTGTGTAGATGGACAATTTTAGTAGTTTATAAAAGAGAAAATGACTTTATATATTGTTCACATGTGTATTTTCCAGTAAAGTCTTTGAATATGGTGAGAATTTAAAAATATGTGGAGTTCTTTTTTTTAAAGATCATGCTGATTAACTTTCAATTAAGAGGAACTGCTGTATTTTGTTTACTCTAGAATGGAAGCTACAAGAGTATTCATGCAATGGCCAAAGATATAGATCTCCTAGCAAAAAATGCCAAAACTTATAATGAGCCTGGTTCTCAAGTATTCAAGGTTAGTTTATCGCTGTTGTTGTTTTCGTTGGTTAGAGTAGATACCTTAATTTAGAGCCAGCAATTTTTATATAACAACTTTATTGAGATGAAATTCACATCATACCATACATTTAACTCAAAGTGTACAATTTAATGGTTTTTAGTGTATTCGCGGAGTTGTGCAGCCATGACCACAGTCAGTTAGCAGTCACTCCATTTGCTCCCAATCTCCCCATTTTAGGAACACTGGCCTACTTTCTGTCTCTGAATTTGCTTATTCTTGGCATTTCATTTAAATGGAATCGTACACATGTGGTCCTTTATGTGACTGGCTTCTTGCACTGAGCATGATGCTTTTAAGGCATTCATGTTGCAGCATGTATCACTTCTTCATTCTTTTCATTGCTCAGTAATACTCCATTACATTTATATACCATGTTTTATTTACCCCCTTATCAATTGCTAGACATTTGGGTTGTTTCCACTTTACGGCTATTATAAATAATGCTGCTGTGAACATTCATGTGTAAGTTTTTATGTGGACATAGTATTTTCATTTTTCTTGGCTGGAATTGCTGGTCTACATGTAACTATATATTTAGCTTTTTGAGGAACCACCAAATTGTTTTCCAAAGCAGCTGTACTATTTCACATTTGTACTGGAAATGTGCAAGTGTAATTTCTTCATATTCTCACTAAAACTTGTTTTCCATTTTTGTTTGTATGATAGCCATCCTCGTGGGTGTGAAGTAGTATCTCATTGTGTTCGAATATCATTTCCCTGATGATTAGTGATGTTGAACATCTTTTTGTGTGTATATGAGCCATTCATATATCTTTGAAAAACTTTTTATTCAGATCCTTACCCCATTTTTTAATTGGGTTACCTGTTTTTTAATTGTTGCATTGTTAGATTTCTTTATATAGTCTGGACGTTAGAGTAGATACATGATTTACAAATATTTTCTCCCATTCTGTGGATTGTTTTTACTTTCATGGTAGTGTCCTTTGACACCAAGTTTTTAATTCGTTAAGTCCAGTTTGTCTGCTTTTCCTTTGGTTGCTTGTATTTCTAGTGTCTTGTATAAGAAAGCATTAATCCAACGCCACAAAGATTTACATCTATGTTTTCATCTAAGAATTTTATGGTTTCAACCCTTAAACCTAAATGTATCCATTTTGAATTTATTTTTGTATACTTGAGGTAGATGTGAGGTAGGGATCTACATTCATTCTTCCACACGGGGTATTCATTTTTCCCAGCACCTTATATTCAAAAGACTGTTCTTTCCCCCATTGAATGGCGTTGGCACCCTTGTTGAAAATCAATTGACTGTAGGTGCATGGGTTTATTTCTAGAATCTCAGTTCGATTCCATTCGTTTGTATGTCTGTGTTTATGCCAGATGTAAGGTTTGTTTTTGATCTACTTTTTAGTTAAATATTGATTTAGTCTTTCCTTTAAACTTCATAAATATAAAAAGCAATTTCTGTAGTGCAACACACAGTGTGAAATGACTATTTCATTGCTTTACAATTCTCTCCTAGAAATTTTGTAGTCCTATAACACAGATGCTTATAGACATTTCTTGAATTAATATGTCATTGGGAATTTAGCAGAGGACTCTCAGAAAACCTTTTGGGAGTAAAATTATTTTAGACTTTCAGAATGCTGCCTCAGATATAGTTGCTTTTGGTAGTTAACCTTTCACCTTTTAATAAACTTTCATCTTTTAAGAAACTTCGAGTGAAAATCAGAAACGAGCTATGAAGTTCCTGTATTCTTCGTCCTTGATAGGACATTAATAGTAGAGTACCAATAATTTGTTGATGCACTTAAGATTGTACTTTTTGGTCTGATTATTTTCCCTAAAATAAATTTTAGAAGGGAAACTAGATTTGATATATTAATATGCTATTGATTTAAGCAAGTACTTCATCCTAAATTTGTGTGCATAGTCTTTAATCTTAGAAGTGTATCTTTGTATCAGTTTTTAGGTCAGTGGACACAGAGTTGATTGTATTTTCACCCATTTTTCCTTGTTCACTGTTAGATCTTTGTGCATTACTTGACTAATTGTGAAAGAGCTAGGAGGCTTTTTAACTTATGTGTAATTGTGATGATGTTTTCAAAGGTTGTGGAAAGGTTAGAGGATGCAGCTTTATGGATAGTAAATGGAAGCCTACTCCAAATGGAAGAGTGCCATAGAAAGTGTCCAGTGCATGACTGAGGGCATTTTAAACTGTCCTTTTTTTCCTAAACCAAGTAATTTTATCTTGACAGGATGCAAACTCTATAAAAAAAATATTTTATATGAAAAAGGCAGAAATTGAACATCATGAAATGGCTAAGTCAAGCCTTCGGATGAGGTATGTTTTTAAAATGTCTATAATCGGGGCTCCTGGGTGGCTCAGTCAGTTAAACATCTGCCTTTGGCTCGGGTCGTGATCCCGGGGTCCTGGGATCGAGTGCCACGTCAGGCCCCCTGCTCAGCAGAGAGCCTGCTTCTCCCTCTGCCCTTCTCCCTGCTCGTGCTCTCTCTCTCTCTCTCTCAAATAAATAAAATCTTGGGGCGCCTGGGTGGCTCAGCTGGTTAAACGACTGCCTTCGGCTCAGGTCATGATCCTGGAGTCCCTGGATCGAGCCCCGCATCGGGCTCCCTGCTCGGCAGGGAGTCTGCTTCTCCCTCTGACCCTCCCCCCTCTCGTGTTCTCTCTCTCATTCTGTCTCAAATAAATAAATAAAATCTAAAAAAAAAAAAATCAAATAAAACCTTAAAAACTAATAATAAAATGTCTAAAATCCTTGTGCCTTTATTATTTGCCAAATTTTCTATAGAAGCTGGTGGAATCAGTGCAGTGGAAAACAGGATGTATGTTGCATTTGAAAATTATATTTACAGTTGATAATGTGATTCTGAGGAGAATAGATACAACTCTTACTCGGCCCCTTCATTGCAGCTGGAAGGCTTTATTTAAAAACAAATGATTTTGGGGATGCCTGGGTGGCTCAGTCAGTTAAGCGTCTGCCTTCGGCTCAGGTCATGATCCCAGGGTTCTGGGATCGAGTCCCACGTCGGGCTCCCTGCTCAGCGGGGCACCTGCTTCTCCCCCTCCCTCCTGCTTCCCCCCCTCCCTCCTGCTTCCCATGCTTGTGCTCACTTGCTGTCTCTCTGTGTCAATTAAATAAAATCTTAAAAAAAAAAATTTAGGGCGCCTGGGTGGCTCAGTTGGTTAAGCGACTGCCTTCGGCTCAGGTCATGATCCTGGAGTCCCTGGATCGAGTCCCACATCGGGCTCCCTGCTCGGCAGGGAGTCTGCTTCTCCCTCTGACCCTCCCCCCTCTCATGTGCTCTCTCTCATTCTCTCTGTCTCAAATAAATAAACAAAAATCTTTAAAAAAAAAAAAATTTAATAACGATTTTTGAGGCTAAACACTATTATCTGCTCTTATTGCTATATACATGTACATATTTATATGTAACATGTATTACATATAAATGTATATAATATAAGCATATACAGGGGCTCCTGGGTGGCTCCGTTATTAAGCGTCTGCCTTTGGCTCAGGTCATGGTCCCAGGGTCCTGGGATCGAGCCCCACATCAGGCTCCCTGCTTGGCGGGAGGCCTGCTTCTCCCTCTCCCCTCCCCCGGCTTGTGTTCCCTCTCTCGTTGTGTCTCTCTCTGTCAAATAAATAAAAAATTAAAAAAAAAAAGCATATACATAATATCATGATATTTGTGTGTAAAATATAATAGTATATATTTATATTGGCAGCAAGAGCATTTAGCCAGATGTCAGGAGATCTAAAGTCTCGTCCTGGCTCTTTCTTGTGCAAGGACTAGGACTTTGAACAAGTCTTACTTCTGGGATTCCATTTCCTCCTTCGAGAAATGGAAGCTGGAGTGGCTGCTTTCAAAGCTTCTGACCCTGACATTTCCTTCATTACCAGATCCTTGGTCACTGCAGGGACCATAAGCTCTCTAGGACCAGCCCTTGTCCATTCTCTTCAGCAGAGTCCTCAGGTTTTGGAGCAAAGCCTGCTGTATAGTAATGGCTCAGAAATATATGAGCGTTTCTTAGAAACAACAACAACAACAACAAAAGATGATTGCCTCCTTTTTGTTTACCCACCATTCTGATTTCAGCTGTCAGTTTTCTGAGTTTCTTTTTATCTTATTTCTGGATAGGACTCCATCAAATTTGGCTACAGCCAGGCTGACAGGTCCTTCGCACAGTAAAGGCAGCCTTGGTGAAGAGAGAAATCCCACTAGCAAGTATTACCGGTGAGAGAGTGAGTGTGTTTAGTCTGAGAACTGACCTTGTTTATGAGGCTAGGCTTACTAGTGTTTCCCTGATAGCTATCATGAAGTAATTCTTTGGGGTATAATTGGGTTATTATGTTAAAAGGTTGAGGTGCTATAGTAGGCCTGACCTGACTTCTGGAAAATGCTGAAGCAGAAGTTATTTGTCAGGTAGTGTTTTAATATTTCCAGTAAAATAAATTGTGGTCAAATACTAAAAGATTTTGTATTCAAAATAGAATTTGTGTTCGTTGTAGAATATGAACATCTTAGAAGAGAATTAACCAGTAATGATGAATGAATCTTTATTTTTTATAAAATAAGGAGTAGTGCTGCATTTAAGTAACACACAATTGCAAGTAGCCTATTTTAGGCTTTCTACACCACTCCCTCTTTTTTGAGAGAAAAAAAATTGGTCTTGGCTAAGATTGATTATGGGGACTATAAAAAGTACAAAGATAAATTGATCACAAACAGTTGAATAGAAATTCTTTTTCTTTGATGTGAATGCTTTGTTAACAGCTCCTGTTTCCTGTAAAGTAACCAAATTATTATAACATCTTTCCTTGTCTTCTGATTGCTTGTTTTTCTTTGTAGTAATAAAAGAACAGTCCAAGGGGGTCGTTTGTCAGCAATTACCATGGCACTTCAGTATGGCTCAGAAAGTGAAGAGGATGCTGCCTTAGCTGGTAGGCATTAGGTTATGACTAGTTAATGCCTTTTCAATGGATCTTCCAGTGAAGGAAAATTAAAGTAACTTTGATCTGGCTGGGAGTTTGTCCATTTTTGGAGTACATGCTGTTTTGTTTGCACTCTTTGGTTGGCTGACTTAACAAAACCTTATTTTATGTTACAGCTTGTATCTAAGTAAATAAATACTTCTATAAAAACAATTGGTGTGCTAGCCTCAGCAGATCCTGTTTTCAAGTGTATAATGATAAATAGTGAGTGAATACTGGTAATGCCATCGGGAAACCCAGTGGAGACATTCATACCATCTTAGACCTCCAGGCCACTGGCTTGTATTTTCAATAGGCTATAATCTCTTCTTGGCCAGAGCTTCTGATTTAAAGATAGATGTAAAAAAAAAAAAAAAAAGTAAATTACAATCAGAGCAGCATAGTCAGTTGTCATTTAAACAAGTCCAACAAAGGGCATTGGGCAGTAAAATCCATGTAAAAGTATACTATCTGTTAAATAGCGAAGAACAGCTGTAGAGGTATGTTTGATTTCATTGTCTTTCTCTGCAGTGTGATATAATGTTCTTTATTTTACTACAGATAATGTTTATATGCACAGATAAAATTTGTTTTATGAAATTACTCTGGCATATTGTCTGATTTCATAATCAAGTATGAGGACAGATTTTTCCACCTGTGTCTTATTTTCTATTAAATCTATAGAAGTTTCATAATTACTGTAGACTACTTATTAAGAGTGTAAATTTAATTTTTTGACACTCATCTACAAAATTTTTTTTTAACTTAAATCAGGTCTGGTGTTATCAAAAATTGAAGGAAAATTTGTTTTTATTAGCTTTGTTTTTTGCTGGTTATAAAAGTGATACACATGTTTAGGTTTCCTTCTAACATTTGGTTACTTTATTAACCTTATAAGTAGCATAACAAATTGAAGGAAAACCCACCTAAAAAGTATTTATTGCTTTTTTTTTTTCCCCTAACAAATAGTATCTTTGTCACAAAAGGGTTCTTATTTAGTAACCTTAGCTATTAAAACAAAGTAGATGCCAATCAGCTTTGTATGTAGTAGATCTTTCAGGCTGTTCTGCATAGCTGTTTATCCTTGATTTAGGCAGGATTCTAATCTATTTGGTTTCTACTTCCTGCTGCTAGAAACATCTTAGGGGTAGGGTACAGTGAAAATAGCAAAGAAAGGATAACTGATGATCTTGGAGCTTGTTGACAAGAAAAAGCCCGTGGAAAGAAGGCATAAGAGTTCAGAAAGTGTGGCTTGTCTTCTTGAGGTGATTTGTTTTAGAGACAAACCACACCGTGCAGCCTAGGGCACGTAGAGAAGAGCGCCCACTTACAGTCACTCTAAGAACAGAAATGGGGTGGGGAATAGAATCAGAAAAACAGATCAACCTGTCACTCCTCCCTCACAAAAATAAAATAAGACAAGAAAGTAAAAAGAAACAGAAAAAGTGAGACAAATGGAAAGCATAAAGATGAGAGAAACAACTCCAAAAATTACATCAGAAATCACATCAGTGTTAATGACCCAAATTTGCCAACTATAACAGTTTTAGATTAGATTTTTAAAAAAAATCAGGTTGTATGCTGATTACAAGAGACACATCTAAAATGTAGAAATATAGGAAAGTTTAATGTAAAAGGATGGAAAAAGATACACGGGGAAAATAATAACCAAACGATAGTTACATTGACTTTTGATAAAATGGACTTTCAAACAAAAAGCATTACCAAGGATAAAAAGGATTCACCTCATAATGATAAAAGGTTTATTTCATCAGGAAGATAAATTATTAAAAAAGCTCAAAATATGTAAAACAAGCAAATAGAAGGTGGCAGAGAAAGTGAAAACATTGCCCTAGAGTGGGAGTTCACTGCTTTCCATTGCCAGATAGGCAGCCAGAAAACCAGTGAAGACAGAGATGATTTGAGTACACAATGTTTATTTCTCACAAGTGTATTTGTTTCCTATTGCTGCAAAAACAAATTACCATAAACTTAGTGGCTTAAAACAACACAAATGTATTCTCTTTGATTCTAGAGGTCAGAAGTCTAAAAGCAAGTTGTTGGCAGGCCAGTGTTCCTCTGGAGGCTCTAGGGATAAAATGTTTCCTCTCTTTTTCTAATTTCTAGAAGCTACCTGTATGCCTTGGCTCACGGCTCCTTCCTCTCTAGTCAGAATGCAGCACTCACAGTCTCTGTATCTGTCATCTCATCTCCTTTCTCCTTTGACCTTGCCTGCCTCTTATAAGGACCCTTGCAATTACATTTAGTGCTCAGAGTTTAATCCAGGATAATCTCCCAAGTTCAAGATCCTTAACTTAATCATATCTGCGAAGTCTCTTTTGCCCTATAAGGTAATAAATATTCATAGGTTCTGTGGATTAGGACTTGGATATATTAAGGAGGGCTATTCAGCTAACGCAACAAGATGGATATAATTAGGCAAGTATTCTGCAGCTAGAAAATACATGTTCTTCTCTGATTCTTGTGGAACAATCACAAAAATTGATCATGTACTTAGCCATGAAACAAATTTCAACCAGTTTGAAAGTTGGGTATTTTATAGACATATTTCTGACCATAATGCAGCTATGATAAGCACCTAATCTTAAAAAACCCAAACACTCAGGAAATGCAAAAGTCTTCAAATGTTTGGGTTTCTATTTTTTTTTTTTTTTAAGATTTTATTTATTTATTTGACAGAGACACAGCAAGAGAGGGAACGCAAGCAGGGGGAGTGGGAGAGGGAGAAGCAGGCTTCCCGCGGAGCAGGGAGCCCGATGCGGGGCTCGATCCCAGGACCCTGGGATCATGACCTGAGCCGAAGGCAGACACTTAACGCCTGAGCCACCCAGGCGCCCCTGGGTTTCTCTTTTTAAAAAGGAAAAATTATAATGGAAATTCAATTACCTGAGATTGAACAATAGCAATAATGAAAATAATATATATCAAAACAGTGGGGACGAAGCTAAAGCTGTACTTTGGAGAGAAAGTTACAGGTCTGAATGTGTCTATTTAGAAAAGCAGCTGAAAGGGGTGCCTGGGTGGCTCAGTCATTAAGCGTCTGCCTTTGGCTCAGGTCATGATCTCAGGGTCCTGGGATTGAGCCCCACATCAGGCTCCCTGCTCAGCAGGAAGCCTGCTTCTCCCTCTCCCACCCTGCCTGCTTGTGTTCCCTCTCCTGCTGTCAAATAAATAAAATCTTTAAAAAAAAAAAAAAAGAAAAAGACTGATTAGTCTTATCACCATTAAAGAAATTATTAGTTACAAATCTTTCCCCATAGAAAACACCAGGCCAAACATTCAAGGAACAGAATTATATACAAACTACTGCAGAGAATAGAAAAAGAGCTCCCTAGTTCATTCTATAAAAATGATAGAACATAGATACCCAAACTTAACAAAAATAAGCACACTGTATCTAGCAGCATATATAAATGATAATGCATGATAACACAGTTTGGTTACTCCAAGAATACTAGGTCACTTCAGCATTAGAAAAAGTTAAAGTATCATTCACTATGTTAATGCTTTAAAAGAGTAAAGCTGTATTATTGGCTCAGCAGATGCCTTTGATAAATGCTTCAATTCCCATTCATGATGAAAACTTAACAAATTAGGAATAGAAGGGGATCCTTCCTAACTTGATAAAGAGCACTTGTTTTTAGTGGAGAAATACTTGTAGCATTCCCTTTACCATAAGTTAAAATGTTGTTACCGCTTTTGGTCAAAATATAGCCAGCTGACAGTGACAACAATGAAGGAGTAAGAATCAGAAAAGATTTATAAGGATTGCAGTTGAAAGATTGTTTTTTGAGTTTTTTACTCAAAAGACTGTACAGGTAAATTATTGGAATTAATAAGAATAATAAGATGCTAGATATAAGATCATTATACAAAAATCTGTTTCATTTCTGGAATCAGCCACAAAAAGAAAATACAATTTTTTTAAAAGATACAATTTACAGTATCAACAAAACATATCTAGGTATAAATCCAACTAAATAGGTACAAGCTCTTTATGGAGAAGATCAGCAGTAGTAGGGTCAGAGAAAACTAGTTTCAGATCCTCTCTTTACTTCTGGCTCCATGACTAGAACCAAATCCTCTCACAACTCTCCTGAGTTGTGCCTGTCCATCTCTTAACACTGTAACTAAGTACTTACTAAATGATTGTCATTCTTACCCACAAGCAGTAGTGATTTTGATTATACAGATCCATCAAGAAAAACTTAAATTATGGTCCTTATACACTGTAAGAGAATTTAGGGAAATGAAGAATGTATTTTGTTTTTCTATAAAAATGATTACATTTTGTTTTGGTGTTTTTATGATTAGCTCTACCTAAAAATTCTCTCAATAAAGGAATAAATCATTCTTAAGGGATGCTGTAGATCAGTGGGGCAAAATCAGAGACTTAAAGCAAAACCAGATCTACCAATATCAACCTGGTATCAATATACATTTATAATGCCCTAAACTACATGCTGCTGCTTTAGTTCTGAGATCTGTGTATAGCTACTTTATCCTTTTCCTGGCCAAACATATAGCAGAGCCTCTAAAGAAGGCACATTTAAAAAGAGAAACTATTTCATAACTTTTAAAAAACAGTATAATGTTTTCTATGTAACACTTTATTCTGTTTCTGTGTAACATTTCTCTAAATATACAATTATATGAAGCACTAACAGCATCTTTAATGAGGGCTGGAAACTCTTAAAATAAGTATTTTCAAACATACAAAGCTTACTTTGGAAGGTCGTTAAAAGAGCTTTAAAGTATGGTTTGTTCTTCCCCTTCTAATACCATTTTTGTCTTTTTTTAGCTGCACGTTATGAAGAAGGAGAGTCGGAAGCAGAGAGCATTACTTCATTTATGGATGTTTCAAATCCTTTTTATCAGCTTTATGACACAGTTAGGAGTTGTCGGAATAACCAAGGGCAGCTAATAGCTGAACCTTTTTTCCATTTGCCTTCAAAGAAAAAATATCCTGATTATTACCAACAAATTAAAATGCCCATATCCCTACAACAGATCAGGTAAGCTGCCTTCTACATTACTCAATAGAAATCCATTTTCTTGTGGTTGATCCTGCACATATATCTCCTTGCTAAAATGGATAAGGATATTAAAGGTAAAAATGTTTTCATATGTTAGAGTATGTCTTGCATGTCACTCCTACGTGAAAAGTGAGAAATAAATTTGATTAAATGCGAATGGTATTATTTGTACTGTAATAGAGTCAAGGCAAATAAGCAAAAGGTATTCCAGCTAGGCATTTGTGTGTCAGATTATAGACTATAAAGAGTCATGCAGCTCAAAACTTAACTGGTCATTTTCTTAGAGCTGAGCAAAGCACAAAAATCTTTCTGCTTATACTTCTTATATTTTAATTACAACAATTTAATTCTATTTAAATTTTGTATCTAAAGTTGAGTCCCCAGAATAAGCATAGGCAGCTCTTAGAGAATTCATTAGCTGAAACAGTACCTGAAAGATGGTTCATCTTGGTTTCCCCATTCTGTTTAAAACAATCATTGGGGGTTGCCTGGCTCAGTCGGTAGAGCAGTGCGACTCTTGATCTCAGGGTCATGAGTTCAAGCCCCACATTGAGCATGGAGCCTACTTTAAATACATACATACATACATACATACATACATACATAAACAAAAACAAACATTGGGAATTCAGACAGAATACTGAAACCACTGCATCGTCATTAAAAATAATAGGAAATAGGGGCGCCTGGATGGCTCAGTCATTAAGCGTCTGCCTTCCACTCAGGTCATGATCCCAGGGTCCTAGGATTGAGCCCCGCATTGGGCTCCCTGCTTGGCGGGAAGCCTGCTTCTCCCTCTCCCACTCTCCCTGCTTGTGTTCCCTCTCTCACTGTCTCTCTGTCAAATAAATAAGGAAAATCTTAAAAAATAATAATAATAATAATAGGAAATAAGTAATATCGTAACTCTCACCGTGCAGGTTAGGTTCTACCGTATACCCAGATAGAGGCAACAAGGTAAAAATATATCTTAACTGGGCAAAATCAGAATAAGCTGGTATTTATCAGGACAGATAACTAACCTTTCAAATAGTAGGAATTAAAAATCTTATACTTGCTGGATTCTAGAAAATAAAGTTGCTAACAATATATGTTTCATGGTTTTGCATTTATAACTTCTGTTTTCATTATTTGATCAGTAAAATTTAGGGTGTTTTTACTTAATGCAAATTTTGGAGGTTTTGTACCCAAATAGGATATAGAAAGTCAGTTTATTTGATCCTCTTAAAGTAACATGGAAATTAAAGCTGCCACTGATTAAGAAAATAGCCTAGAAATTTGTCTTTTATACTCTTTGCCTTGGAAAAGATAGTGACAGTCTTATAGATGTCGAGAGGTTCCCTTTTAACTCAATTTTTTTTTTTAAAGATTTTATTTATTTATTTGACAGAGAGACTGCAAGAGAGGCAACACAAGCAGGGGGAGTGGGAGAGGGAGAAGCAGGCTTCCCACTGAGCAGGGAGCCTGATGTGGGGCTTGATCCCAGGACCCTGGGATCATGACCTGAGCTGAAGGCAGATGCCTAATGACTGAGCCACCCAGGCGCCCCATTCACTCAACAATTTTTGTCCTTAGTTTCTTTTCTTCCTCAGTCTTTTTTTTTTTTTTTTTTTAGTCAAAATAATGAGTTCAGTGTAAAGGAAGACATATTCTCAGCCAACTCAATCATCTGCCTACAACCTTCTTCTAAGTGAGAATTTCCTAATAGAAACCTTGCTTGGTTAAGTCAGGAATTCTGCACCTTTCCCCCTTTTTAAATTTACTTCTTGACAGTTGTCTGGCACATAGGTAGGGGAGTGTGAGGAATAGAGAAATGGCTGAGGCCTAGCTGGTAGCACACTAGAGTTCTGAAGGGTCAGCTCTTAGCACGGCTAATCTACCTCCTTCCCAAGGACGCATGGCCAGTGGTGCCTGACAGGAGCTGGACTACCTTCCATTGTTTCTACTTCAGAGCAACACGGAAATCTACAGCAATGCTGACCAAATAGAACTTTCTGTGATGATGGAAATGTTGTTTTCTCTGCCCCGTCCAGTATGGTAGCCACTAGTCACATGTAACTATTGAGCTCTTGAAATGTGGCTGGTGCAACTAAGGAACTAGATTTTAAATTTTATTTCTTTTTTTTTTTTTTTTTAAAGATTTTATTTATTTACTTGAGACAGAGAGAATGAGAGAGAGAGAGCACATGAGAGGGAGGAGGGTCAGAGGGAGAAGCAGACTCCGTGCCGAGCAGGGAGCCCGATGCGGGACTCGATCCAGGGACTCCAGGATCATGACCTGAGCCGAAGGCAGTGCTTAACCAACTGAGCCACCCAGGCACCCTTAAATTTTATTTCTATTTAAATAGCCACATGTGGCTAGTGGCTAATGTATTATATAGCACAGTCCTAGGGAGATTTGTTGGCAGGAGGATGATAGTTGAGTGTCATCAAAAGCAACAAAAATAGGGCTGCCTGGGTGGCACTGTCAGTTAAGCATCCGATTCTTGGTTTCAGCTCAGGTCATGATCTCAGACTCCTGGGATTGAGCCCCACCTCAGGCTCCACACTTAGCAAGGAGTCTGCTTAGGACTCTCTGTCTCTCTGCCCCTCCATTCCACGCACACATGCGCTCTCTTGCTTTCTCTAAAATAAATCATTAAAAAAAAAGGGGCAACAAAAATAGAAGAGTGGGCAGGAGCTAGACAGTGTGGCTCCATATGCCACCTTCCACTGCTGAGGCTTGTCATCCCCATCTTTTATTTCCTATTGTGCCTATCCTGCCCCCCTCTATTTTTGATGAACATCAGTCTCATAAATACCTGCAGATTTATTATAGATTGTCATTTACAAGTTTGAGTTCCACATCTGTTCTTTGTGGGTATTGAGAATACTCAGCACATTACTCAGAGTTGGCAGGAATAAGTCTGAGGCTATAATTTAAATTCTAGGTGCTAGCCATGTAGGCTGGTACTGAGAGCTGAGTTTGTGCGTAGGTGTTTGCTTCACTCCCGAGATGTTCTCTAATGTTCGTATCTTTTTAAACAGTACGTGGAGTCTGCATATAGTGTGCATGTGCTTCAGTCAGAAGATTTAAACGTCTATCCTATGTGCATACAGAGTTAGGGCACACTGTGACTTTTCACTTTGTGTAAAATGTATAAGGGACATGGGGCACCTGAGTGGCTCAGTTTGTTAGGTATCTGACTCTTGATTTCAGCTCAGGTCGTGATCTTAGGATTGTGGGATCGAGCCCTGCGTCGGGCTCCCCACTCAGCTGGGAGTCTGCTTGAGCATCTCTCTCTCCCCCTGCCCTTCTCCCCATGCATGCACTCCCGTGCACTCTCTCTCTCTCTCAAATATTTTTAAAAAAATATAGGGATGCCTAGGTGGCACAGTTGGTTAAGCATCTGACTTTTGGTTTTGGCTCAGGTCGTGATCTCAGGGTCTTGGGATTGAGCCCCACGTTGGGCTCCACACTCAGTGCAGAGTCTGCTTGAGATTCTCTCTCACTCTGCCCCTCCTGCTCATGCTCTGTCTCTCTCTCTTTAAAATAATAAATAAAGAAATCTTTAAAGTAAAATATATAAGGGACTTCATGAGAGTTGGCATTAGCAATAGCCATAGTGTCTAAAAGATATCAGAATTCTTAAGACTTTTAAGTAAAATAAGTAATGTCAATTTTAAGCCATCATAATTAGTTACAAATGTTTGTATTAGAAGAAAAGTAGTGAATGGACTCTGACATATCTGCCTCTCATTTACCATCTTAAGACTTCTTCATTATACATATGTGTGTATATATATATATATATATATATATATATATATATATATATATATATATCCCCTTTCGTGGTATTGTGAGTACATTCTCTTTTCATTAACCTTCATGAAGAGGCTAGATCACCATGGTTCTTCATTAAGGTATCTTAAAACCTCCCTGATTTTTTTTTCTCTTTCTGGGGTTTGCATGTTAACCACTAACAGGTTTTCCATTAGGGTTGTTGCTAATATATTTGCTTTGTAATTGACCACCTTGGCACCTAGGTCCTCTTATTACTTCTTATAGTGTTTTGTTCTGGATTTTCAGGTAGACTGTCATACTGCCTAAATACAATGGTGCTTTTGCCTCCTTTCTATCTTGAAGGTGTCCCTTCTAGGCTTCTTATCAGTATCACAAGTAAAGAGGTCAGCTAGTGCTTGTTAGGATTTTTGTACTAGATTTTCAGTAAGGGTGTTTCATCATTTTCGTAAAGGTAAATTGTAGTCATGTGTTTGTCTTTCACAGAACAAAGCTAAAGAACCAAGAATATGAAACTTTGGATCATTTGGAGTGTGATCTGAATTTAATGTTTGAAAATGCCAAACGCTATAATGTTCCCAATTCAGCCATCTACAAGCGAGTTCTGAAATTGCAGCAGGTCATGCAGGTATGATTCCTGGGATTTGCTTAACTGTGGTATGTATAATTGAAATAATTTTACAAACTTTGAGTGTGTACTTCTAAGATGTGTGATTTCTCCCAGCAATATCACATCATTTATTTCAACCACAAGTACTGCTGAATATTTTTTTAGAGTTGTCAGGACCATGTAGAGTAGAAATAATAATTTAGACTGGGTTAGCTTTGTGAGTGGGAGGAGCAGGGATTTGTGCCTGGGGAGTCATTTTAGGGTCCTCAGGAAGTTTCCCTCCAGTCACAGATGATACTCTATCATTTAGATTTTATTTCTTTGGTTCTAGACTTGTGTCTGTTAAGGTACATTGGTCCTAGGAGAAAGAACATCTTAAAGCTAATTAATCATTGTACAGTGTTTAAGAATTTATCAGATCCTTTCTGAGAGCACATCTTAGTGGGCACGGGGAGTCATGGGTGATCTAGGGGTTTTGAAGAAAGGCATAGATATGAAATACAAATTGTGTCTGTCAGTTTTGGGTAGAATCTTTCTGCAAAGAGAATCTCAGAGCAAGGAAGCAACAGAAGCAATTTTAGATAACCCTGGAGAATCTTCACTGTGTAGTCGATCGTGACATTGGTGCTGCACATTTCACGTATTGCCTTTCAGCGCTGCGCATGCGTTCCCTGAGTCCGTAATGGTTGGACTTTCAGCTCTTTGGCAGAAGGTCTTTAAAAATGCATGTGTTGAAAGTAGATCTTCTTTTCACGTCTCACATTAAACTTTCTTCTTCGCCACACCATTGCTGAAGAAGTCCAGGGTATCAAAGACTGTCTTTAGTTGGCTTCACCTAAAAATGGCAGGACACCCCTACAACTTGCCTCAGCGCTTTCAACAAGCTGGTGCCGTTGTAGTCTTACAGTTGAGCTAGTGTTGATTCCTCAACCCTCTGGATCCAGTTTTTAACCTACTTTTCTGTAGGTCATGCAAGCTTTTGTTAAACTGGGTTATTGAAAATGTTTACTGACTCTTTAATTTTGTGCACCTTACCTGTGGTTGTATTTTTCCAAGAGAATCTGATACGTCTGGCTCTTTAATATTAATTCATATATTCTAGGAGCATTCAGCAGGGAGAGCTTGACTCCAGGGTCTGCTCTGTTTCAGGCAAAGAAGAAGGAGCTTGCCAGGAGGGACGACCTTGAGGATGGAGACAGCATGATTTCTTCAGCCACCTCTGATGCTGGTAGCGCCAAAAGGAAAAGGTACGTGTTCTTCTCCTAGGCGGAGACAGCTCTGTGTCTATGACTTTGTTTCTGGTAAGTGCAGAAAAAATGTGGTTTTAAGCTGTCAGGTATGAATTCTCTTATAAGCTCTAATTATTTGCTAACAGGTTTTCTGTTAGAATTCATTTGTGAGTGGTATGAGCAGCACTGCCATTGGGCCAAGTGCCATAATGGCTGTAGACCACGTGGATGAAAGTGATAGCTACTTATGGGGCTCGGCAAAGCACGTTACTCTGTTGGCTGTCGGGGCCATTTTGCCTTCATGTGGCATTTCAGGAGTGCCACTTAAATCTAGTTGCGGTAATTTCTACGTGGTGAATCGCAAAACATTTCAGTACTATCACTGCAGGGAAGTCAGTCGCTGATACTCCTGTGTCTTTGTTTTTCCTTATTAATCTGATCTTTATTTGCCATTTTAAGGGTGTCAGATTGCAGACAACTACGTCATAACTTCTTGTAGTTCATAAAATGCTAAGCTAGATGTTTGGTTTTCTCTCTTTCTAATCTTTCTCCGAACTTCCCTCACCCTTCCTTTCTCTCATGGGTTCTGTGGAAGGGCACCTCACTGTAAGACTCTGAGGCTGGACTCCTATAAAGAATCCTGCGAGAACATCTCTTTTGCCTACGCCTCCCACACAGAGTTTCTCTGGCTCAGTCTTTGTGGAACACCATATTCTCCCTCAGCCTTAACTGTCTCACCATCTTTGTAGCATTGGTTGCTCCAGGGAGAACACCGTAAACAAGAAATAAGCTAATCACTAGTAGCGGGCACAGATCCAGAGTTGAATGTAGGAGTCACTAGTAACTGTTGACACTGTTTTGTTCATGCATTAATAGATCCACTAAGATCAGAGGATTTAAAAAAGTGGTTTACGAAAGAGAAGCTGCCCTATCTTTTCCTCTTATAAATAGCATTTGGGAAAAATTTTTTAGTTTTGAGAGTAACTGCTGTGCTATGCCATGGTAACTAAATTGATTGGTATACCCTGAGATGTGAGTCTCCTCCATTACTGGCCTATGAATTTCATCCTTCCAAGTTCTTAATTCCTTGTTATACCAGGGACAACGGAGAAAAATGTGAAACCAGATCAGAGACATCAAATCAAGGACATCTTTGAGTGTAATTATATAACTCTACTACAGCATCACCTGTGTTTTCCAGATCAGTCACCCATCAAAGATAAAAACTTCTAAGACAAAAGAAGGTAATGTAGGCAAAAGTGATGGTACAGTTAGTGCCAACACTGAATGGAAAGAGAGATCTGAAACTAGTTGAGCCTTACAACAGTTCTGAGGAAGCATTAGCCCAGGCCAGATCCTTAATGACCTCTCTGTTTCTGTGGCTTGTATTGGTGGGGCAACCCAAGTAAATCACAGGGAAGTTACTACTCTAAAACCTCCCGCAACAAGAAAACTAAGTATTATGTTGTTGAAATCATAAAATCCTACTTCAGATAAAACGTCTCTGTGAACAGGTTTCCTAGGAAGTGTTTTGAATAATAAAGTGAAAAACACAAATAAGAGAAGAACAAATATAAATCATAGCTAAAGCAATAAAAGAACATACCTGGTTTTGAAATACAGGCATGAGTGGACATTAAGAGGTTGAGAGAAGCAAGTCCTATCTGTGCTTTGAACTGTGTGGCAAAGAAAGAAACATTAACGAGCCTTTTAGAAGGTAGCTCGTTATGTTAGGTTTTGCTAATAAGAAATAGACTTTTCCGGAATTCAGGCAAATACAGCTGCCTGGTAGGTTAAATTCAGCTTGTCCAGTGAAGTCAGGGCCAGGTTTTACAAGTACCACTTAACTCCTAAATACTGTGTAGATTCTATCTTTGCCTTATTTTTTTAATATCAAAGAGTGAAAAATATTAATGTAGGTTATCTTCATTCCGGGAGTGCATTCTTCTCCCCCACCCCTTTCCCCAAAAGTCTACCTGCTGTCATCCATGTTAAAATGTTCCAAGTATTCTTAATATCTTTTATCCTTTGGATTGAATAATCCTCTTTTTTTCTCAACCGTATTTGGTTTGTACATGACCCTCCAATGTTGCTTGTTTTGTTTCTCTTCACATGTAATGTTTGTTTCTGCTTTCCCAGGAACACTCTTGACAGTGAGATGTTGGGTCTCAGGAGGCTCTCCAGGTGTGCAGTCCTTTTTTATGCATAAACGTATTTTTAAAAGTATAACTTCTGTGGCATGGTCAGTACTGATTAGGTGAAAAGTGAAGTCTTAAACATGTGAAATAAGCTTTCATTTGGGTGCCAGTTTTTTGTTGTTTTTTTTTTAAGATTTCTTTCTTTATTTATTCATGAGAGAGAGAGAGAGAGGCAGAGGGAGAAGCAGGCTCCCAAGGAGCAGGGAGCCCGATGCGGGACTCGATCCCAGGACCCTGAGATCATGACCTGAGCCGAAGGCAGGCGCTTAACCATCTGAGCCACCCAGGCGCCCTGGGTGCCAGTTGTTTTTATGAATAAAGAAAGTAGTATAGTTTAGAAGTATAGTTGGTAGAATAAATTCAGAATTAGTTCGCCTTGATATGTTCTGAAGCCTTTATTTGTTGCTAGCTTTGCCAGCAGCCGCAAGCCCTCTCACCAGTCATTGTGGTTGTGCTTGTGCAACAGAAGGTAGCGGCTGAGAATAGGATGGCATCAGCAGTGTCCAGAGGCTGGCAGATGCTGATGCCCTTTCAGGGATGTCTTTTACACATTGGGGATGGTGGAGGGATCAAAACCAATGTTGACAGTCCAGGTGATAATCAGCCTGAGTTGGCACCTGTGCATTGGGTTAGTGCTTCTCGAGCATGAATACATTTTGTCAGTCTCTGATCTTGCCCATGTTTTATTTCTTTGAAAGCATCCATTCTTTTGCATGTCACTTATGATTTTTAAAACAGCCTATGAGTTGCCATGTTATAGTCCTAGTCATCATTGTGTGGTGCTTTTATTTTCACCTTAGCCTTCTGGCGTTCGTGGAGTGTCAATTGCTTGTGGAACACCAGACTCCGCTCTCACAGGCTGTAAAGGAAAATGTTTAGGCATCACCTCCACGTGCCAGGAACTTACTGGCCAGGAAGAAAGGCAGGTTGAAAACAAATTATGTGGGAGCAATGTCATAGAATAATTGCACAAGGTACACACTTGTGTAGTTTTATAGAACTATATATATGACTGCCCAAAGAGCTTTAGGAAATATGATTTCCCTATCATGCTTTTCTTTGCAAGTTAGATGTTATAAAGTTATCTGCATGTTTCTCCCATATGCAGTCCACTCTACAAAATTACTGCGTTATCAATTATCTTCTTCCTAATATTTTCCTTAAGAAAGATTTTCTTAGATCACAAATTTAAGAAAAAGACCATGGGTTATATTTCTCTTACATCATTCATAGTGTGTATGGTACTAATTCTCGGTAATAGTAGAAATAGAAATGTGGGGCATCTGGAGTAGTAGTATAACCCCAAGCTCTTAGAACCTAACTGCCCAAGTTCAAATCCTAGTTATTCTAATTAGCTCTGTGATTTGAGCTTCACCTCAATTTCCTCATCTGAAAAAAGAGTCGATAACTATACCTGTGTAAGATCATCGTGAGGACCTGGGTGGTTGATGTGTTTAAAGCCCTTAGAACTGGGCCTAGGTGCAGTTAGTACTCAAAATCCAACTCTGATTATTTTCTGGAAGTAGTTCCTGTTGACGTCAAGGCTCAGTAGATTTCATTTTGTTTTTAGTCCTCTGTTACTAGTCTGGGAAACTCATTAGAAAAGGTTTATTATTTATTAAAAGGTTTTATTTATTAAAAGGTTTTATTCCTTGAAGACTTGAAGATGCAGTGAATGTAGCCAGCCTGGTAAAGGAGAGAACCTTTGGGGTTACTTAGCTTAACAGCAGACACCACCGAAACTCTAGGATAAGGGAGTTAAATGCTGGGAGACCTGGGAGCCTATGAACAGGGTAGAGAGGCCCACGGTAAGTGCCGACTTTTGGGAAAGGGAGGAACATCATAAAAGCAGCCTAGTGATTATCAGCTGATTCAGGTCTTAGTTCTGATTGTTCACTTTATGACCTTAAGTATTTGCTTGACCCTTGTAATCCTCCAGTTTTCCAGCTGCAAAGTTGGGATAGTAAGTGTACCTGGTTCTTAGAGCTTGAGGATTAAATGACATCACACATATAGTGCTTTACTAGTACAGCCCCTGGCACGTGGTAGAAGTGTTAGCTATGACCATAAATGGGAATTTCGTGTGTATATATGCAAATGTGAATACATATAATAACAAATAATAGCTTCAGAGGAAGTATAATGTTAAGGACATTTGAGAATATAGTCAGCCACAAAGTATGAGAGTGAGGACTAACACTGTGGCATGAAAAATTGAAAGGAAAGATGAGATCCAGAAGGGCTTTGGAGGTTCCTCTAAAACTTGGGTGGTTGATGTGTTTAAAGCCCTTAGAACTGGGCCTAGGTGCAGTGATAAACTAAGAGAAGCAAAAAGTGACAGTGATTGCCGTGTTTCAAGCTGGGTTGGGAGTCAGGAGAACGGTGGTAGTGCTGGCCCTGGAAAATCAGATTCAGAACAGAGCCTCTTGTAGCTTCTAGCCTTTGTGCAAGCTAGAAAAAGCACCCATTTCTCAAGACACTTTCATTTGTTGGAAAATCACTGTAATATAATGATTTTGTTAGCACAGAACCCTTCATGGCCCATCTCCCATAAAATTCTAGAGCTGCATATTTATTATAACAATGCCTATTACCTGAATTGGTGTCCCCTTAAGTGTGGCACCCATAAGTGCACAAAGATAAACAGGCCTGGTTTTGAACTCTCTTAACATATATTTTACTTCAGTATATTTAAAGGTGCTGATTAAAAAAAGAAGAGTGAGTATGCCAGTTACAAGGTCTGAGATTAATGTACTTTTTCCAAAATGGGGAGGAGTAAACAAACTACTTACAGTTAGTGGTGTGGGAGAGGAGGACAGGTAAGATACATAGAGGGGTTCTAAGAAGAATCTGAAAAGCAAAGTGACATTGAAAACAGTAAACAGAAAGTACCAATTAGGGGAATATGGTTTCTGACTTTTTGTAATTCTTATCTCATTTCAGAAAGTATTTGAAGTTGCTTTCAAAAGTCCCAGATATAATAAAGTTTGGCATCCATATTGGACAAAGATAGAGCAAATACACCAACCACCCAAGCTAATAATAGTTGTTATAGAAGAGTCTGAAATTTAACTCAGTTTTTTTCTGATAGCCAGATTAAAACTAATGGGCCAGTAGTTCTCAGTGTCAAAGGCAATGTAAGGATCAGGAAAGATGTCAACAAAATAACAAAACTGGGTTTACCCAGTTCAGAGAAGGTTGTAAGTGACCCTAACAACAAAAGTTTTGCTTGCCTTGAGGATGGAAACCAGTTACACATTACTCTTAAAGAGTGAATAAATGATACAAATGGGGAGAGGATACTATTGGTAATAAAAGTCCTAAAACAGGGGCACCTGGGTGGCTCAGATGGTTAAGCGTCTGCCTTCAGCTCAGGGCATGATCTCAGGGTCCTGGGATCGAGCCCCATATCAGGCTCCTGGCTCAGCGAGGAGTTTGCTTCTCCCTCTCCCTCTGCCTCTCTCCCCTGCTCATATTCCCTCTCTCTCTCTCTCTCTGTCACATGAATTTAAAAAAAAGTCCTAAAACAATACATTTCACTTATTAGAGCAGTCTCTTAAATAAATTCAGATTTCACATTTTTTTAAAAAGATTTTATTTATTTGAGAGAGAGAGAGAAATCACAAGCAGGGGGAGGGGCAGAGGGAGAAGCAGACTCCGCTGAGTAGGGACCCCAATGCGGGGCTCAGTCTCTGGAGCTCGGGATCATGACCTGAGCCGAAGGCAGATACTTGACCAACTGAGCCACCCAGGAGCCCCCAGATTTCACATTTTGGATATGTCCCATTCAAAGCTGCTTGGTGTCAGAGCTATCCCACTCTCCATTCTTTTACTTTGTTGGCATTTTCCCTAAAATTCAGTAAAAAAGCTTTCCCTCCTCTTTAAAAAAACTCCTAAAAATCTGCCCTAGACCCACTCTCAGATTTGTAGGGTATTTGTAGCTTCATACAGAAAAGTCCAGTGATGATTGGGGGTGATATACTGGAACTAGGAAGGGAAGAGAGCTTACCTGGACCAAGAAAGAAACCTTGAATAGTTCTGTGTGATATTCTTGGATTGAGGAGCGATTTCATTTTGAGTTGATTATTGGAGAGATTTTTTTAAGCTCACAGGTTCACAATGGGATTTCTGAGTTTTCATTTTATAGTTTGACCCCCACAAGTGAGATCTAAAGAAACCTTAACTATCTTTAGTAGTTTTAAGCATAGATTTCTGTGATGTCAAATTCAGATTCGGAAATTTTTCTTTAGAGGCTTCTTGAAGGTTAACGTCATCTGTGTTCTAATCTCTGCCTGCATGTGGAGCTCTGTGGTTTGGAGCTCTGTTCCAAGTTCCCCTTCCATTATCCACCTACTGAGTCCTGGACTGAGAGGACTCTTGCTCTCACACCAGTGCACCCAGATGCCTCTTTGGGGAAATCGTTCCCACTGAATGAAACTTCTCCTAACATATCTAACAATTACTTACTTGACACAGAGACACAAAAATACTAAGAGGAGAAAATGACAGAAATGATCCTGGAGCCACTTAAGATTACCCAAGGGAAATGAGCAGTCTGAGTGAAGGCACAGGAAACGGAGGTCCTTTTTCCCTCCTAACTGACCACTGTCAGGCTGTCTTAGCTCCATCAGGCTTGGAAGATAGGCATTTCTGACACATTTTTAAAGCTTGACTTAAAGAAAGATATTTCTTGTCTGTTAATTAATTCTTTATTGGGGTTTTGTTTCTTTTTTAAAAAAAGCATATTTTGAACTTTGGAGAGAAAATATCTGGCCTTTGGCCTCTTTATGATCCAGCAGTAGAGTGAGTCCCTGGACTAGGAGACCCATTTAGCCACATTGTTTGCTTCAGAAATGAACTTCCTTCCATTTATAAGACAGGAAACATAAAAAATACTTATCTCTAAGTACTACATTATATGACATTATAAATGTTTATTGAATAGAAATTAAGTCATAAATCATTTCTTTTTATTACCTACCTGAGTGTTCATCTGGAGACTGCTGGCTTGAGTCTGGTTAGAATTTATCATTGTCCTGAAAACATGCAAATAGTGGGCCAGAAATCATGCTGGAAGATTATCTCTTCTAATAATTCACTGGACAACTCACCTTGGCAAGTCATTTATCCTCTCTGAGCCACTTTCCTCAACAAATAGGAGACAGCCTGTCTGTTCTCTTGGGCTCCTTTTTAACTTGGATTCTAATCTGTGGTCCCTTGACTTTGTTCCACACCACGCACATCTGTTGCTTAGTGTCACATCTCACTGGGAGAATTTGGAGAACAAGACAGGGACTCACATTCAAGGATGAAAATTATTCAAGAGCTCAGGTGAACCACAGAGCATTTATTCCTTAAGCTAGGTTGGGTTGTTGGAATAATGCCCATGGAGCTGGAGGAAGCAGGGACTGACCTAGACAAGATAAATGCAAGAGAGACTTATTCCCACTATAGAGACTCTAGTCTTGCAGATAGCCTCCCTTTCTTTCCTGGTAACCAGGATATGCAGGTGTTCAGAGTGGTTGTCTTAAGAGATGGCACATTCTCTTTTTGTGTGTTTGGTTTTAGTTTTTTGAAGTGGGGACTATTAGTAACAGGGAATCAGTAATTTTACTCCATTTTTGCTATGTTCTTAAAAAAAAACCAAAACATATTTCAACTGATAACAGAATTTCATTTTCTTTGGGTGTTAGAGAAGTTTGTTCTTAAGCATTGCATTTCATAAATATTCTAAACAGGTTTGTCTGGTGTTCATTGGCTGCTCCTGCCAGAGTCACTATGTTTTAACTATTTGGAAATTCTCCTATATTTGCTTATAGCTGCCAGCATGTTTACTGTGTTTGTGGCATATGTAATCAATAAATTATCATCATGAAGCACCTTCCCACATGATTAATTTTTCATTTCATGTTCATCCCTGTATGAAGAAAACTGAACCTCTTTTCATTTCTCCCCTTTTCTACCTCCCCCCTCAACAGTAAAAAGAACATAAGAAAGCAGCGAATGAAAATCTTATTCAATGTTGTTCTTGAAGCTCGTGAGCCAGGTTCAGGCAGAAGACTTTGTGATCTATTTATGGTTAAACCATCCAAAAAGGACTATCCTGACTATTATAAAATCATATTGGAGCCAATGGATTTGAAAATAATTGAACATAACATCCGCAATGACAAGTATGCAGGGGAAGAGGGAATGATAGAAGACATGAAGCTGATGTTCCGGAACGCTAGGCACTACAACGAGGAGGGCTCCCAGGTAAGGATGTGTGGGAATCCTGGGGTGGGCACGTTTTCTTTTGGGTGCTGGTAGCATAATGCATTTTGAGAGACCGGATTTAGAGGCCCTCCCTTAGGTTGCTCTTCTCAATGATTAGCTTTGTCTTTTCTTAATTGTTAACATGGCAATCCATTGCAAAGGTTAGAGGTTCATACTCTCTGTAAGCTGACATCCTGTATTTGAATCCTGCTCTGCCAGTTCCCGTGTGAGTGACTTATCTTCTTCTGAGCCTCATTCTCCCTATCTGTGCCCTTGAGATACTGATAGGGCCATTGTAGGATTTAAACAAGAGAGCATACGCAGAGCACGTAGCACCCAAATGAAAGCCAGTGACAGTAAAATCTTTGCTCCAATTGTTACTACGCGCAATAGCCATACTTCTCCAGGGATAGTCCACAAAATGGTATGATTATATAAGAATCAGGATGTTCTCAGAAAGGCACCTCTAAGTAATTGATTTTGTTATGAAGTATCTTGATTTTCAGTTCCTTATCAGTGTAGCTATAATATATTCTTCCTTCTTTGATATTTTTTCTGTTTCATATTCTGTATCTATTTTTTTATTGAAGTATAATTGACGTGTAACATTAGTTTCAAGTGTACAACATAATGATTTGATATTTATACATATTGCACTGTGATGACAATAAGTCTAGTTAACATCTGTCACTATGCATAGTTACAAAATTTTTTTTCTTGTGATGAAACTTTTAAGATCTACTCTCTTAGCAACTTTCAAATATGCAGTACAGTATTAATAACTATAGTCACCATGCTGTACACTATATCCTTGTGACTTACTTATTTTATATCTAGAAGTTTGTGCTTTTTGACCCCCTTCATCCGTTTCATCCGTTCCCTACCCTCTGCATCTGGCAACCACTGAGCTGTTCTCTATCTGTGAGCTTGGGTTTTTTGGTTTTGGTTTTGGTTTTTCAGAATATACATATACGTGAGATGATATAGTATGTCTTTCTCTGACTTATTTCAACTAACATAATGCCCTCATGGTCCATCCGTATTGTCACAAATGGCAAGATTTCATTCTTTTTTTATGGCTAAATAATATTCTTGTGTGTGGGGGCGCCTGGGTGGCTCAGTTGGTTAAGCGACTGCCTTCAGCTCAGGTCATGATCCTGGAGTCCCAGGATCGAGTCCCGCATCGGGCTCCCTGCTCAGCGGGGAGTCTGCTCCTCCCTCTCCCGCTCCCCCCTCTTGTGCTCTCTCTCTCTCTCTCTCTCTCTCAAATAAATAAATAAGTAAAATCGTAAAAAAATATATATATTCTTGTGTGTGTGTGTGTGTGTTTATCCATTCATCTATTGATGGACACTTACGTTGCTTCCCTGTCTTTTTTATGGTAAGTAATGCTGCAGTGAACATGGATGAGGGTGCATATACCTTTTCGAGTTTGCTTTATCTACTTTAAATCTTCCAGAAATAAAATAACTTTAATATCATGTATTTCCTTTCTTCTTGCTATTACAAAGTAAAGTACGCACTGAGGGTACTTGTGATCAAGCCCTCTATCATAGCGGGGTGTAGCTATACGGGCCATTAGGTGAGTAACCTTGTTCTTGGCTACGTATTACCACCCTTGGCTCCGTCTTCAGAGAGAGATCCTAAGCAGGGATTGTTGCTTTTCACAGATCAGAGGCCAGATTGTGAATTCAGACTGATATTAAATCCCATTTAACAATATTTGAGGTATTGCTGTCCAACTATCATATACTTTTTATTTCCTATTGAGCTAAGATTGCTACCTTGAGGGTCCAGTGGAAGAGAGATTTATGAAGAAAGCAACACATGTAATTATGTTTTAGAACTTCTGTAAAAACTTGCAGTGATTCTGCTGCAGTAGTTCTCCAACTTTAGCATGCATGTCTGCACATTAGAATCACCTGGAAAGCTTAAACAACAAACCATTTGAGGATGAGGCCCACCCTGCAGAGATGCGATTTGGTTGCTCTCTAGTGATCTCAAGCTTTATGTCTTTAGTTCCCAACTATGCTAATGTGTGTTTTTAAAACTTCTTTATAGATGCATGTTCTACTTCAATAGAACGTTTTTTAGAAAATAATTTTAAATATATTTATGGAATATAGGTGTACAACGACGCGCACATCCTGGAGAAGTTACTCAAGGATAAAAGGAAAGAGCTGGGCCCGCTGCCTGATGATGACGATGTGGCTTCTCCCAAACTCAAGCTGAGTAAGGCAGCCTCACGCTTGTTACTCAGTTTAGTCTGTCAAGGATAGAGTACTAATTCACTGAAATAATATCTTAACTAAGTGGTGAATATGTTTGAACTCACACTCTAGCAGAGAGTTTTTTCCTTCTCTCAAGCACTCTCTGTATTTTAAGTAGTTAAACTGTGGAAAGCATGTGGGGAATAGATTATAAAGTCAGAGGTTTTGTTTACTCTCTAAATGCTGTGGACATTTTGTAAATATTAAGTAGTAAGAATAGATATTTTTTCTATATATTATGCCTGTAAGAGTGTAGCGGCAGATTCGGGTTTTTGTATGTTTGTTTGCTGAGTATTAGAATTAAAAGTGAATCCCAGCTGCAGATCCTAGACAGAATTTGAGAAATTAGAGATGCTCAGCCACTGTACTGTAAGTTAACTCCCTTGTCTTTTTTGTGTGGTCTGGGGAGGGTGATTTTATTAGAACTATGAGGATAGGAAGGACAACAAAAGCAGTTAATAGTATTGAACTAAAGAAGAGGTTTCTGCCTTATTTAAAATACATAAATAAAATAAATACCAAGCAAATTACAATGGTATTGTTATATATTCTTTGGAACTATATTTGCTGAAAGGGGGAAAACAAACAGACCCTGCCTTTTTTTTTTAATATGAATTGACTATAAACTGAATATTATAATAGTTTGGGGTATGATTTATTGCTAAGTGATGATTCCTTCTCATTAAGGCATTTATCCTTTCTTAGAATTGTAAAAGCATGCAGAAGGTTTGCAGAAATGTTAATCTTTTATTCTACTTTTTAGGGACACAGTGCCTTTTAAAAATAGAATTAATTCCAGGGGGTGCCTGACTGGCTCAGCCAATGGAGCATGCAACTCCTGATCTCGGGGTTGTAAGTTCAAGCCCCACATGGGGTGTGGAGATTACTTTGAAAAAATAAATTTAAGGGGCGCCTGGATGGTTCAGTCGGTTGAACATCTGACTGTTGGTTGCAGCTCAAGTCATAATCTTACGGTCCTGGAATCATGCTTCCTTGGGCTCTGTGCTCAGCGGAGGGCGGGGGAGGGGGGGTCTGCTTGAGATTCTCTCCCTCTGTCCCTCCCCCCACTTGCCTATGCTCTCTCTGAAATAAATATATCTTTTTAAAAAATTGAAAAATAAATTTAAAAAGATTTTAAAAACAAGTGATTTTGTAAGTTGAGTTAGGAAATGATAGATAATTAACAGTAACTATGTATAAATACACATATTTTTTAAAGTTTAGGGAAAGGAAATTTTAATGTGTAATGTTGATTTCCTTTTCATTTCTCTATTTTGTGTTATGAAACGTTTCAAACATATATGAAGAATGGTACAACAAAGCCCTGTATGTACCAGTTACTCAGCATTTCTCAAGAGCGTGCCATACTTACTTCCCATATCCACTTTTCTCTCTCTTTTTGTTCTAAATTATTTTAAAGAAAATTCAGTCATGTCATTTCATTTCTACATAGTTGAGTGTGCATCTCTAAATATGCAGATATTTTCTTAAATAACCATGGAATCATTATTGCACCTAACAAAATTAGCAGTTTCTTAGTTTCATCTAATACCTGACAAATTTTCAAATTTTACTGCTTATCTCACAAATGCATTTTTACAGTTGGTTTCTTCAAATCAGGACCTAATTAAATTCTTTATATTTGATTGTTATGCCCTCTGTTCACAGTCTAGAGCAAGCCCCTCCTTTTTTAATCCTCATGCCACTGACTCTTCAGAAACCAGATCACTTTCTTGTACAGTTTCAAATTTTGGATTAATCAGTTCACTTTCTTGTGATATCAGCTAACTTTTCCCTTTATTCTTCTCATTTCTTAAAAAATGGAAATTTACTCCAGAGGCTTGATTAGATTCATTATCAGCCCGGCAAGGATGCTTGCTTCATAACATAATAGGTTTTCTACACTTGCATTGCATCACATCTTGGAGCAATGTCTGGTTGAGGTAGAATCTAAATAAGGTCCACATACTGCACTTGATTGATACTTCTTTTAATCTGTAAATCCCCCTCTCGTCTTTCTTTTTTTTCCTTTGCAGTTTATTTGTTGAAGAAATTGGGGCTGTCCTGTAGCTTCCCACAGTCTGGGCTTTGCCAATTGCATCCCTTTGCTATAGTTTACATGTTCTAATGTCCTTGGTGTTTCCTCTAAATTGGTAGTTGGAGCAAGAGCCTTGATCAGATTTAAATTAGATTTAATCCTCATCCCCTCCTTTTGGCACAAAAACCAACTTCAGAGGTGATGAATGGTCTTCCATTGGGTGGCCCTGTAACAGCTGTCGTTTCTCCCACATGTTAACAGCGATTGATGCGGACTCCATTAATTCATTAAAGAGGTATAAAATAAGAGTAGTCTGATTTTATCATTCCTTGCTCATTTACCAACTGGAATACTTCTGTATAGAGAAACTTTGCCTCATCCAATATTTGGTTACCCAGTAGTACAATTTTTGCTTGTTTGTCTTGTTTTGGGTTTTTTTGAAAGGATAAAAGATAGATTCTTACCCCCCTTTGTTTGCCAGTTTTCAAAGCAATGCACTGGTTTACCAGTATCCTCCCAACATTTACCCAGTTCGTTTGTTCATTTTTATATATCATTAAGAACTACTAAATTTAGATGTGTTGCTGAGTTTTAACTCATTGCAGTTGTTGTCCTTATTGATGCTCCTGTTGTCCTAGGCTGGCCGCTATGTTCTACTGACATAACCACAGTAAGAAGGTGTTGACAGATTCTTTACTGTCTTGTGTTTCAAGATACATGAGGCTCATCTTGTGCCAACTGCGAGTCAGCCATTTGCTAAGGAGCTACTGGTGTTAGTATTTGAAATCTGTATTTCAGAATTATGACCAATATAGTCAAACTATGTGGGATTATACCGCTACTGGATTGGTCATTGTTTCCAGGATTTTCAGTGGACAGAACTAGGAAATTTTGTGTGTGATTGTATTATATTTAAAGATAAAATACATCGTAAGTTCATACTGATGCTCTTAACTGAGATTTACGGCTACAAGATTTTTATTCAGTGTTCTTTTTCAACATCTGGATCTCTTTTTCTCCTGTGATAAAAATCTCAGTTCTCGGGGCACCTGGGTAGCTCAGTCGGTTAAGCATTTGCCTTCGGCTCAGGTCATGATCTCAGGGTCCTGGGATTGAGCCCCTCATCAGGCTCCCTGTTCATCGGGGAGTCTCCTTTTCCCTGCCCTCTGCCCCTCCCTCCACTCGTGCTCGCTCTCTCGCTCTCGGATCAATAAATAAAATCTTTTTTAAAAAAATCTCAGTTCTCAAGGATGTTACAGGTGATGGAATTAGAATGTCACATAACTATTCATTTGCTTTATTCTACTTTTCACAACTATCTCAACATGATAATGCTTATTACTCTCTCACTAAAAATATGATTACTGAAAACAGTTTAAATTTGTTTCCAGTTTTTTCTTTGTCCATAAGCTAGATATACTTCACTTAGAGAAATGCTAATTAAACTGTTTTACAAATCACTTGGAGTACTCCCTTTCTTATGATTATGCTTTACCAGCTGTATACAAATTTGGGTTCATTTATTTCATTTTATTCATTTAACATTAAATCTCTTCTTTTAGGTAGGAAGAGTGGAATTTCTCCTAAAAAATCAAAATACATGACTCCAATGCAGCAGAAACTAAATGAAGTCTATGAAGCTGTAAAGAACTATACTGATAAGAGGGGTCGCCGCCTCAGTGCCATATTTCTGAGGCTTCCGTCTAGATCCGAGCTGCCTGACTACTATCTGACCATTAAAAAGCCCATGGACATGGAAAAAATTCGAAGTCACATGATGGCCAACAAATACCAAGATATAGACTCCATGGTTGAGGACTTCGTCATGATGTTTAACAATGCCTGTACATACAATGAGCCTGAGTCTTTGATCTACAAAGATGCCCTTGTCCTGCACAAGGTCCTGCTTGAAACTCGGAGAGACCTGGAGGGAGATGAGGACTCTCATGTCCCAAATGTGACCCTGCTGATTCAAGAACTTATTCATAATCTTTTTGTGTCAGTCATGAGTCATCAGGATGATGAAGGAAGATGCTACAGTGATTCCTTAGCGGAAATTCCTGCTGTGGATCCCAGCTTCCCAAACAAACCTCCTCTTACATTTGACATAATTAGAAAGAATGTTGAAAATAATCGCTACCGGCGGCTCGATTTATTTCAAGAGCATATGTTTGAAGTCTTGGAAAGGGCAAGAAGGATGAATCGGTAGGTTTTCAAAGCTATTTCTTTTTGAGGAGGTGTGATAGTTAATGCAAAACAGAAGAAAATTCTGCTTTGATATACTGTTTCAGCTTAGGTACATGGTTACAGTTGGTGGGGTGCTGTTTTGAGTTCTTACTTGCCACAACATCTAGAGAGCAAGCATATGCTGTGGGGGAGAGCAGACACACTAGTGCATCATCTAGATCAGGGCCAGTGAGAAGGAATACAGGACAAATTTGAAGATCTGTTGAAAAGCATAAACTCTTATAGTCTTTTACAGAACATGTTTTTTTAAAGAGTGAAGTGCTTATAATTAGAAATAGTAATGTGATTTTTTTTTTAAACTTTGAGTTCAATCCAAGCATGCTTTGAATAAATTAAAATAGCTCTTAAGTTATTGATCTGAGGTTAGCCAATTTAAATTTGATCACCATTTCCAGTTCCTAAAAAGGCTGCTTCTTTTTTTTTTAATCTCAGATTTCTCACTTTTAAGTGCCTTTTGCAGATAGTAAATGTACTAAAAGAAGCAATCAAATTTAAATTTCCATCAAACTTGAATTCCCTTTTAATTCTGATCTGTGTTATATCTTCGCCACACAAGAATGGTATAATTGACTTAAAACAGTTTCAGTTTAGCAGTTACAGTGTGTCTTCTGTGTGCTGTTAGAGTCACTTGGGGGAATATAAAAAGTTAAAGATACAGACCCTACCTTCCTGGAGCTCACAGTCTACCATGCTGAAAGGAGACTTTTAGGCAGTGGGTGTAGAGTAATTCCAGCTGGGGAATCTGGTGAAGCCTGCATTTGCTCTGGATCTTTAAAGAAAAATTAGTAGTAATGTTTGCTGTTCCTATTAAGCACCTGCTCTTTGTAAAGCACCATGCGAAACACTTTATCTAGATAATCTCTAACTCTTATAATAGCCATTCTAGGTGATAATCTTCCCACTTTGCATTTGAAGAAGTGCACAGACAGAAGTAAGTTGCCTAAAGTCATACAGCTAGTAAGTGGGGCTGCTCTTCTTGTTCCCCCACTGCAGAGCCAGGCACCAAGACACTAGTCACGGAGCCTAGCCGTAGATGATCAGGCTTGTGGTCTGTGGTCTAAGAGCTCCAAGTCCGACAGTTGGGTTAGGACCTGTGCTTAGGGAAAGATAATTCCAGGTGTGAGACAACACAACAACTTGATATGTAGTAAAGATGGAGGAGTAGGAACTCTGAGCTAGAGCTCTGAAAAGACCTGAGGTATCAGGGGGGAATGGGAGAATGGGTGGGATGTAGATAAGGCAAGTGGTTTGAGTGAAGGCACGGGGTTAGGAAATGAATGTGGTGTGTTCAAGAGATGGTGGGGTTGGGGTCAGATTGGAGAGGCGCCTGAGTGACACATTTAGGAAATGGCCTTAATGTTCAACAGTAGAGCTAGAAATGAAGAGAAAGATGGGGAGACATCTTGCAGTCAAAATTTGCATTCTTTATTTTCACTTACTCAACAAACGTTAATTGAGTGGCTACCAGTGATAAGCATGTTCTAGATATTGGGATATACCAGTGGACAAGACATACGAATCCTCTTTCATGGAGCTTAGACTTCATTTTTGTTCTCAGTTTTCTTAAATAGTCCTTAAGTCTAAAGTCACTCCTCTCCTCCACCTCTGCCCCGCCCCCATTACATCTTGGGGTTAGTTCTGTGAGTCTTCCAAAAGTGCATTTGTCTCTTAGATCATTAGCAACTTTGTCTATCTTATATAGATGATGTGTCTGTTTTAGGAAATAAGCAGATTTGTATCTGTAGGAAATGAGCTCTTTTCATTTTTCCATTGTTGACCTGATTTGCTTTTGAAGCCCAGAAGGTGGAGTCTTGATGCGTTTATTTACATGAGGCAGTGATGAGTTTCACTCTTGTGCCCAGAGCCTTGTAAAACTAAGGGAAGCCATTTTTTATCTTTGTGAATGAAGGTTGTATTATGACTGCTTACGGTACTTAAGTATAACCCCATGCTGCTGAGGTGGACATGCATCAGTTTAGTGAATGATAAACCATCGTTTTATCCGTTTTGTCAGTAATGAGGGTAGATATCTCAAAAATACTAAGTTCATGAATTTAATGAAGTCCATAGGCACTAGGTTTCTATTTTGATCTTTAACAGTGTTCATGCCCCTATCCACCACTGCCACTCAACATCGCCTAGGACCTTACACCCTGAATAGGAGTCTGAAAAGTGAGGCATAGAAAAGTTCATTCAGGGGACAGTGGTTTGTCCATCGGCAGTATTCAGTAACAGCACAGCACTGACTCATGCCAGTTAGCCACTGGCTTTCCTAATCTGCTGGCAGCATTCCTGAAATCAGTTCTCGGACTACCTAATAGGAAGGGGGACCCTCGGGAAGACAAGGACAAGGGAAGCACTAAGAGCTTCCTGTGCTCTTAATTATTTCATTCTACTGGATGTCTGCCTTATAAAGATTACCCAACAGCTAAGGGGAATTAAGAGTTATTTTCTTTTTCCATCTTGAGTTTTTGTTCTTATGCATGCAGGCAACACTGAGCCTCACAGATTAATTAATGAATTCTTCATATTATTTTGTTTAAATAAAACAGGAAAGATAAGTCAGATGTTTAATGGCTATGTACAGCACTTCCATTACTAAACAACATGACCTGATGGAATTACGAATCTGCCCTTTCATTGTAACAGGGATTACCAAAAGTGCGTTTTCACTTTTAATTTTATACTTAAAATTGTAAGCTGTTATAAAATGAATTTTAATGTCAAGTGAACAGTCTTAAGACATCTCTGTTCAGAAAACAGGCATCAAAATAATAAGAGTTTCTTCCCTTGACCAGTTTTATTTTTATTGCTTTCCTGTAAGTATTAGCATTTCTGTAACCTGAAAAGATTTTTAAAACCTTTCCAGAAACATTCATTTAGGTTGTTATTGGCAGTGTTTTTAGATTGTTTGCCAGTTCACTTTGGCTGATGGGGAGAAGCATTCTGGAGGTTTCACTAAAATTTGATGCTCTAGTGGTGGGTATCAGCAGGTGACTGACTGGGCTTGCCACTCCCCCCTGACCAGAATGTGTCCATAACTGCTCTAAGACTTTGTCTGTGGTTACTTTGTGAATATTTTTCAGACCCTGGTATTCCTAGTTAATGGAATTATGTTTAAGCCATCCTCAGACCACAGTGGATTAGAGATAGTAAAAGAATTTCTTCCAGTCTGAATTCTGAGGCTGATTTTGCCCAGTCCTGTCCTCTCATTCTGTAAATGAGGAAAGAGCCTTTAAAAAGCTTTCAGTGTGGCAGATCATTTTTCCCCCATCTTTCACTGTGTTGCCTCTGCTGGTTCCCCAGCATTATGTAGTCATTTCTGGGAAACTAACATGAACACTGATTCTGAGGCCCATAAGTGTTATAGGATGGATGCCCTCATGACTTTGCAGTTTAGGGTCAAATATTTGCTGGGGCCTACCAGCCTAGGCAAGTATGATAGAGATTCAAAAAGAAGAAAGTGGATACTGCCTAAATCTTTTGTCAATAGTTTATATGTTAGTCCCTCGGTTAAGAGAAGGTAAAAATTAATCCAAGGATTAGATACAAGTAAGTGTCGTGGTGTGGAGCCTCAGTGTAGTCCTTGATTGTGACAGCCCCCCCTCCCCCCAAAAATGCCAAAATCAACGGATGCTTGAGCCTTGTTTCTCCCCAGAAAACCGTATGAGGCCTTTTCTTTTACATGAGCTGTACAAGGAGTGAGTCTTAAGGAAGAGGAAACTGGTGGGCATGAGGCTTGCCGAGGTAACAGTTCAGATTCTCTTCTAAAACTTTCAAGGAGATACCCTGCTGTACAGAAGTACCATTACATCCATTAACGTGTTATGGAAGCATGGGTAGAGTTAAACATATAAGTGAGGTGTGTGAAAGAAGCAGCTTGTATGTCAATGGGTGCTCTTGATGCCCTTATAGGACAGATTCTGAAATCTACGAGGACGCGGTAGAACTGCAGCAGTTTTTTATTAAAATTCGTGATGAACTCTGCAAAAATGGAGAGATCCTGCTTTCACCAGCACTCAGCTATACCACAAAGCATTTGCATAATGATGTGGAGAAAGAGAAAAAGGAAAAATTGCCAAAAGAACTAGAGGAAGATAAACTAAAACGAGAAGAAGAAAAAAGAGGTTGGTTTCTTTTCATTTTATTAAACATGAAGACATGTTATACTCTGTTCTAGTTCTGGCTCTCCTAGCTTGCTGTGGGGATGAATCCTGTCTGTAAATGTTGACTCTTTCACAATGGCCATGTTGAGATAGAAATGCTTTTATCATCATCGGTTTGGTCATCAGACTGTTACAAATTGGAAGTGCTGTGTGACACAGCTGTTGCCCTAGCATTTCAGGAACGGTCAGTTAGCTCACAAGTGTGGGAGCTCACCAGGTCGAAATACGATTGGCAGATAAAACCTGCGGGGCCTGTCTGCACCTGGGGAGCATTCTCAGCAGTGAATGCATCAGGGTTCTTCCCTGTCATGTTGCCGGATGGCTTTCCTCCTGCAGACTCAGTCCAGAGTAGATGATATTTTGGTTGAACCACAGTACTAGGAGGAAATTTTTCTTTTCATTTTATCAATGCAAAAATGTTACTTTGAGTCCCTTGCCAGAATTTAGAAATATTTGACAGTGGGAACTTTTATTAGAAATTTGGTCATTTCAGGGACACCTGGGTGGCTCAGTCGTTAAGCGTCTGCCTTCAGCTCGGGTCGTGATCCCAGGGTCCTGGGATCGAGTCCCACATCGGGCTCCTTGCTCAACGGGGAGCCTGCTTCTGCCTCTCCCTCGGCCTGATGATCCCTCTGCTTGTGCTCTGTCAAATAAATAAAATCTTAAAAAAAAAAAAAAAGAAAAGAAACTTGATCATTTCTGGACTCGCTGGAGTCACCGTCATGGCCAGCCTGTTAGCGCTGGCACCAGTGGCGCTGCTGGTGGCACCGGCGTGGGGCTGGGGCGGCCAGGATCACCGGGACTGGGACACCGCTGCGCCACTGCCCCACGAAGACGCGGAGCGCGTGGCCCACTTCGTGACCTATGTCTGTGACTGGGGCGCACTGGCCACACTCTCCAGAGAGGAGGCGGCGCATGGCTAGGCCTTTGCCGATGTCTTCTTGCTCGGCGATGGGCCCCCGGGCGTGGGCAGCAGCGGGCCCTACTTCTGTCTGAGCCCACTGCAGCAGTTGGTAGGCAACCCTCAGGAGAATCTACATGCTACGCTGACCATGTGTTTGGCATAGACTAACTTCTGCAGGAAGCATGTATTTGATCCCCAGAGTCCCCTCTCTGCTCACATAATACTGTCAGGAACTGTTACTAATGTGAATGAAATGGAAATGGACTTTGCCAGGCATTCATTGCTCATCCAGCACCCTGAGATGAAAACCTGGCCTTCCAGCCATAATTGGTTCTTTGCTAAGTTGAGTTTAACCCAGATCTGGATCCTGGACCACTTTGGTGGACCAAAAGTAGTGACACCTGAAAATACTATAATGTCACATTTTAGTGAAGTAGAATGCAGCAAATTTAACAGAACCAATGAGCTTGCTTAGGATGGTTCATACAGACTTTAAGGGCTTAATGTTTCTCTGTGGAACACTTCCCAGATTAACCAGTTTTCTTTCACACGCTGGTTTGTTTGCTTGCTTGCTTACTTGTTTACAAAGTAGAATTGGACTGTTCCTGGATTTCTTGGAAGATGTGGTTTTTAGACTTTTTTTTTCATAGTTTGAAGCCATTTTCATAGAGGTATGTCTTTCATTGTAAGTATTTTTCCTTCTAGTTTTCCGGCGGTGCTCCTTTGAAGAGGAGCCAGTGCCAGATTTAGATTGCCCATTGGCATTTGACGGTACTCAGAGATGTGTCCTTAATTCCTGGAAGCCACTGTGCTAGAGAGAGGGCCTCACTCACCCACGGCTGCGCCTGCGCGCCTGCATATGTGTGGCCGAGACAGACCGTGGTGAGACACAAATAGAACTTCCTCCTCGTGGTCCGTCTGTGTCTGACAGGCCTGGGTGTTGTTGATCCAACATAGGGCAAAACCATTTCTTACAAAGAATTTCTCTTTTCACTTTTCAGATCTAGAGTAATAATTACCTAGAACAAAAGAAGCTCCTAAAATGTTTCCTGAATTTGATTTCCCCACATAAATGGACATGGTATAATCAGTGTCCTCCACTCGAAGCACACACATACACACATGTACACATTATTTTATTTTCTATTTTGCCCCCAAATGGGCTTGCAAAAGAAAAAAGAAGGATGCAGGGAATTTTGTGTAAGTCAGTCATTTCCAGTGTTCTTTTGTAAGTAAAGTTTACCAGACATGGACCAGCTTCCGCCAGGCCCCAAACCCCCTGCTCCCAAGTGCGCTCAGTAGCTTTTTAAGCAGTGCTGCTCTCAGCAGTGGCCTAAGCCTTCCTCAACTGCTGTAAATCTTTAAAATAGCTCCCATGCTGTTACTACCTAAATGAGGTTGTCAGGGAGAAGATAACATGACTTAAAAAAAAAAAATCCCATTTCTTCAGAAAAGTGCCCATTAACTAATGAATAAATAAAATGTAGTATATGCACCCAGTGGAGTGTTATTCACCCATAAAAAGTAATGAAGTTGTGATGCATGCTACAACACGGATGAACCTTGAAAACACGCTAACTGAAATAGCCACACAGGAAAGGACAAATATTGTATGGTTCCACTTATATGAGGGACCCAGAGTAGCAAATTCAGAGACAGAAAGTAGAATAGAGGTTACTAGGGCCTAATGGGGAGGAGAGATGAGTTAGTACTTAACAGGTACAGAGCTTCTGTTTGAAATAAAGAAAAAGTTTTATAAATAGATAGTGGTTATGATTGCACAATATTATGAGTGTAATTAATGCCACTGAATTATCTACTTAAAAATGGTCCAAAAATGGCAAATTTTATGTAGTGTATTACCATTTTTTAAAAATTAGTAACATACCAAGAAACTGAATTGTACACTTTAAATAGGGGAATTGTATGGTGTGGGAATCATATCTCAATGAAACTGTTTAAAAACAATGATAGCAGAGGGGGGTGGGAGCGAAAAGAGGATGGTGTTTAATGGTACAAACTTGTAAGGAGTAGTAAATAGCCATGGAGCGCTAAAGCACACTAGAATGAAGATAGACCACAGTATCTTACGTGAGTAAGTGCTGTGATAAATATCACTACAGTGGCAACAAATATAAATGTATCAAAGTAACTGGTTGTATAACTTAAGTTGACCCATTGTTTTATGTCAAATTGATTCAGTTTAAAAAATTTTTAATGATGGCAGAAAGGAAACATTTAGACAAGGATTAGAAGATGAAGAAGAAATCTCCAAGGCAGTAGAACAACAAAGAAGTAGAAAGATAACCAAGAGATCAACCCAAGAGGCCCAGAATCCAAGTGATTGCAGGGCACAGTTCTGCTAAGCTTTCTGCCACTATATAACGAGGATCTCCTTTCCAGTAACATTTTCTTCATTTGCACCTGTGCCTTCTCCTGCCAAGTCCTTAATGTCCGTTTCTCTGCCATAGTCTGTTCAAAGCAATGGAGGCTTTTTCTCTTCTTAAAATTCTTAGAAAGTTTGTTGTTTCCAAAGGAAAAAAAAATTCTTCCAGTTTCTGTTCTTGCCCAATTCCAAAGTCGCTTCCCTGTTTTTTAGGTGTTTGTTGCAGGAACACCTCTCTAGCAGGTATCAAAATCTCATCTAAATATGTCAGCTTTATGAGCTCAAAAGTCCTAAATCTTATTATGTAAATCATTTAAATGGGTGTATATGGGTGGGGCTCTGGGTATGATCCCTCCTGGGACATAATTCCTCTCCATCTGTGGACCTGTGAAACTAAAAAACAAGTTCTTTGCTCCTACAATATAGTGACAACACAAGAGTGGGATGAGAGACATTCTCCTTCAGAAAGGGAGAAATGGAGAGGAAGGGGTCATTTGAGTTCCAAGCAATCTTGAAATCCAGCTGGGCAGAGTCATTAGGTTCCGAGTCCCAGAAATAGTCCCCTGTGGCTCAGCACTCTGCCCTCTACATCACCCTTTTTCATGAAAGGTAGCAGATGTTTGCAGCTGAGTAGTTTTAGCAGCCTGTTTCCTGTCTAGAATTTTGGGGGTTTAGCTAACACTCTGATTTTGTACTTTCTCTGTCTCTTTCCATTCAGGTGACCGTGTTCCTGCTGGTATATGATCTCAAGAACCTTCTGAATCTCTTGATATCTTATAGGGATTTATTTGGCTAATCAAATACTAGCTGACATTTTCCACCAAACTTGGCAAAACTTAAAAAATGATGTGGGGCCCGTAGGTGGCTCAGTCGGTTAAGGTCTGTCTGTGGCTCAGGTCATGATCCCGGGATCCTGGGATTGAGCCCCATGTCAAGCTCCCTGCTCAGCGGGAAGCCTGCTCCTCCCCCCTTCTTGGTGCTCTCTCTCGCTCTCTCTCTAGCTCTATCTCGCTCAAATAAATCTTTTTAAAAAAATATAAAATGCTTATTTCTAGCTGTTGCATTTATAGAAAATTATCATAAGGAAATAATTGGAAATGTGGGCAAAGCTTTATCCTCAAAAACACAAAACCCTGGGGCACCTGGCCAGCTCAGTTGGTGGAATGTGCAACTCTTGATTTCGGGGTTGTGAGTCCAAGCCCCATGTTTAGTGGAGAGATTACTCAAAAATAAAATCTAAAAAAATTCCTATGGTATTTGCAAAAGATGGCTTGCATAGTAGCCATCAAAAAGTATTATTTAGCAAAAATAAGTCTTGTTGAAAAAGCATTAATCTCAGAGACTGTTCAGTGTATATTATTATTATTATTTACTTATTTATTTTAAATAATCTCTATCCCCAACCTGGGGCTCGAACTCCCAACCCCAAGATCAAGAGTCGTATGCTCTTCTGACTGAGCCAGCCAGGCGCCCCTGTTCAGTGTATCTTCAGTGTAAACATACATAGTTTACATTATATTGTTTGATACACATATTCCATATTTTTTCAATTCTAAGATTCCATTTGACATACCCATATAATAACTGTTAGGGGGGAGAAATTTCAGGGGCATTAAGATGGAAAGGAAGTACATATGAGATCATTTCCAGGATTGCATGATTTACAGGTGACCTGTTTTCTTTATACCTTTCTTTATCATCCAGAACGACTACATTGAGCATATATTATTGAGATGGTTATTTTTATTGTGTAGATCATTTGTCTATTTATGCACTTACTTAAATTAAGGGCAGTTGGTTGTAACTCAAAAAAGGCAAGTTTGAGTAGAGGCTCTTGGGAATACAGATATCATACTGTTTGTCCTGAATCCTGCCCTTGAAGGTCTAGGAAAGAATGAGATGTATTAGTATGTGTTGTTTGAATCCTGCATCTGATTCCCACATTCCATTAATGGGAACCTTTTTGTCTTCACCGAAGAAGCTGAAAAGAGCGAAGACTCCTCAGGCGCCGCAGGCCTCTCCGGCTTACACCGCACGTACAGCCAGGACTGCAGCTTTAAGAACAGCATGTACCATGTTGGAGACTACGTCTACGTGGAGCCCTCAGAGGCCAGCCTGCAGCCACACATCGTCTGCATTGAAAGACTGTGGGAAGATTCTGCTGGTAAGTGTGTTTTAAATCAAAGGGCAGATTGGTGAGCTGGGACTATTTTACTTCTCCTTGGTCCTCAGGGAAGAAAATTGTAACTCAGACATGTTATGCCTTGCATCAATAGTCATTCTACAGTGTATCAGTAAATATAATTTAGCACCCACTATATGAAAAAATAGGATCTAGTACTCTTGGGCCCATGAGTGGCACAGTTGAGTCAAAGGAAACACAACTTCCTGAAGTGAGGTTGAGATTCATTCACTCAACTGCTGTTTCTTTAAAACACACAGTAAGCCAAACTGGAGGATGGCAGAGCCTCACAAGAACTAAAGGCTCGTGTTTTGCCCGTAGCAAAACCAGTCTGGTACAAACCACAAATAAAAAGGAAATTATTATAGTGTGACATGTGCCTTGGCTTAGAATTTGATTTCAAAAAGGCGTCCTAGAACAGTTGCCTTTCACTTAAGACATGGAGAACAAATAGGAGTTAATGAAGCCAGGAGCAGACAGAAATGTGATCCAGGCAGTCCAGTTCCCTCAGCTGCTCCTCATGAAGTACCTTTGTATCCCTTTGCCTGAGTGCTAAATGCATCCTTGATATGCTTTAGATGCTCTGTCCTTAGCATAAGCACACAGTCTTAAGTGTGTCCTGGGCCCAGCAGACTAGGGCAGGTCTCATCACCTTCTTCACCCTATATATTATACATTTTTTAATATGAGGGGGAAAGTAGCATTTTTTAGGCCTCATTATACTTCATTACTTTAAAGTATCATTTCTTCTAAGATAACTATTTTAAGAAACTGTGGCCTAAAAAGCACATTGTTAGGTTCAGGCCATGGCAGACTGGATGGAGAATTTGCTCATTTTGCAAAGAATGTGTGATTTCTGTTAATGGTAATTTCCCCTCTCTCTCCCTTTTTGTTTTTGAGGTGAAAAATGGTTGTATGGCTGTTGGTTTTATCGGCCAAATGAAACATTCCATCTGGCTACACGGAAATTTCTAGAAAAAGAAGTTTTTAAGAGTGACTATTACAATAAAGTTCCCGTTAGTAAAATTCTAGGAAAATGTGTGGTCATGTTTGTCAAGGTAAGAAACTCATTAGGCTCCAAAGTACAAATCATTCCATGAAAATAAAATTTACAAACACAAAAAAATGGTATTTATAAATTAAGCACTCTGTTTTAAACTTTGATTTTTTTTTTTTTAAGCTGTGTCTATATGGCATTGGATAAAGATTTGGGAGGAAATTAATCTGATCATGATGATGAAAGACCACCATTTGCTGCCTACACTATATAGCTATATGCAGTTAGTGTAAATTTTTTTATATTGCCAGGCTAATTTTTGAGGATGACATTTTCTGAAAGATCATTAAAAATTGTCAGTGTGCTTTTTAGGATTATAAAGTATACTTTTTGTGTATCTATGTGGTATAGGTACATTGAGCCCTGCCCAAAGCTTTTAGGAACATTATAGCTGTATGAAATGCTAATATATTTTCAAAAGGGCAGTTGGTAAGCTAAGTATTTATATTTAATAAGGCCCTTCTGTAGCAGGGAGATGCTTGTACATTGCTAACCATTTACTATTTGTTAACTGTCAGAAAGTCTTAACAGGTTAACATTTGTTTGCTTGATTGATGTGTAGTTTTGGTTTTTTCGGTTGACTGGTTTTCAGAAAATTCACCTAATAATCTTATTCTTACGTCTCCCAGGAATACTTTAAATTATGCCCAGAAAACTTTCGAGATGAGGATGTTTTTGTCTGCGAATCACGGTATTCTGCCAAAACCAAATCTTTTAAGAAAATTAAACTGTGGACCATGCCCATCAGCTCAGTGAGGTTTGTCCCTCGGGATGTGCCCTTGCCTGTGGTCCGAGTGGCCTCTGTATTTGCAAATGCAGATAAAGGGGATGACGAGAAGAACACAGACAACTCAGAGGACAGTCGAACTGAAGACAGTTTTAACTTGGAAAAGGTATGTAGTTAAAAGCCACATGGAAAAGAATTTTACATTTCAAAATACCTATTCCAGAAAATAAATGAATAAAGTACTCAAGTTCAGAATGAAAGAGAGGGGCGCCTAGGTGGCTCAGTCGTTAAGCGTCTGCCTTCGGCTCAGGTCATGGTCCCAGGGTCCTGGGATCGAGCCCCACATCGGGCTCCCTGCTCGGCGGGAAGCCTGCTTCTCCCTCTCCCACTCCCCCTGCTTGTGTTCCCTCTCTCACTGTGTCTCTCTGTCAAATAAATAAATAAAATCTTAAAAAAAAAAGAATGAAAAAGAGCAACAACATAAAACCTTAGCCAAACAGAAAGAAGGGAACTGTAGAAGAAGGACAGAAATTAATGCTTAGAAAACCAGTAGAACTGAAAAATAGAATTTAAAAGTAAATCCAAGTGCTAATTCTTCAACAAGTCCAACGAGATAAACTACCAACTATCCTAATAAAAAAGGAAGGCAGTTAAGCTCAGACATACAAATGTGGAAGAAATTTAAAGACTTGTACATTTCTGTTAATAAATTTGAAAGCCTGAACAAAATGCATAATTTTCTAGGACACTATAAATTACTGAAGAATCAAGAAGAGATGTAACACGTAAGTGGACAACAGCAAGAAGGAATTTTTTAAAAATGTTCTGAGAGCTAATCACAGAGTACTCAGGTCAGATAATTCTGTGGGTGAATTCTTTTAACCCTTTAAGAGACCTATAATTATGATACTGTTTAAATTATTTCAAAGCATGGAGAACAAAGAAAACTTCCCAATTTATTTTACAAAATGAGAATAATCTTAATTCCAAAGCCTGACAAAATTAAAACAGAAAAGCTACAGTTCAGTCTAACTGATGAATATTGATGCAGAAAATACTTAGAGAAAATGTGTTTTTTATAAGTGAAATCAAATTATTTATTTATTTATTTATTTTAAAGATTTTATTTATTTATTTGAGAGAGAGACTGAGAGAGAGAGAGCATGAGAGGGGGGAGGGTCAGAGGGAGAAGCAGACTCCCTGCCGAGCAGGGAGCCCGATGCGGAACTCGATCCAGGGACTCCAGGATCATGACCTGAGCCGAAGGCACTTGCTTAACCAACTGAGCCACCCAGGCGCCCTATTTATTTATTTTTGAAGATTTTATTTATTTATTTGACAGAGAATGAGAGAGAGAGCACATGAGAGGGGGGAGGGTCCGAGGGAGAAGCAGACTCCCTGCCGACCCCGGGATCATGACCTGAGCCGAAGGCAGTCGCTTAACCAACTGAGCCACCCAGGCGCCCTCAAATTAGTTATTTAAGAACAGTATGACCGGGGCGCCTGGGTGGCTTAGTCGTTAAGCCTCTGCCTTTGGCTCGGGTCATGATCCCAGGGTCCTGGGATCGAGCCCCACATCGGACTCCCTGCTCAGCGGGAAGCCTGCTTCTCCCTCTCCCACTCCCCCTGCTTGTGTTCCTGCTCTCTCTGTGTCTCTCTCTGTCAAATAAATAAGTAAAATCTTTAAAAAAAAAAAAAAAGTAAATAAAATATTTAAAAAAAAAAAAAAAAGAACAATATGACCAAGTAGGTGGGAGTTCATTCTAGAAATGCAGGGGTTGGTCAAAATTAGGAAAATTCAGCAATACACTTCATCATATTAATAGATCAAAGGATAAATTATTTGATAAAGTACAGTAACTGTCTTCATTTATTTAAGTCTTTAGACAGATATTTCCTCAAAGTGATTTTTTAAAGTTATATTTGTTTCTCATGCCTAAAGCCTGCTTGCTCTACTATTACCTATATTTTTCTGAAAGTAGCCAATGAAGACAAAAGTAGTAAAAGTAATGACAGTAAAGTGATAAAACCTTTTTTGCAGATCATGGGGGAGCAATTAACTAAAGGTTTGAAAAACAATTCAACAAATAGGAATTTCAAAATCCATATACGAGTCAGTAGCTTTCTTATATAAACAAAACAGTAATTCACAAGACTTCTGAAAGTAAGATGAAAATGTTGAGGGCGCCTGGGTGGCTCAGTCGGTTAAGCGTCTGCCTTCTGCTCGGGTCATGATCCCAGGGTCCTGGGATCAAGCCCAGCATCAGGCTCCCTGTTCATGCTCTGTCTCTGTCTCACTCTTTCTGTAAAATAAAATCTTAAAAATGTTGAATATACTTTAGCAACTATTAGGAAAATCATGTAGAAAGAAACTGATTCACCTTAACAACAAAATACATTAAGAAATAACCTTGAAAGGAATATTTGGAACCTATGGAAAGAGAAACAGTCTAACTCAAGGACATAAAAGACTTGGATAAATTGTTTTCAGAACTTGACAAAATGGGGTGCCTGGGTGTCTCAGTTGGTTAAATGTCTGACTCCAGTTCAGGGTCATGATCTCAGGGTCCTGGGATGGAGCATTGGGCTCCCTACTCAGCAGGGAGTCTGCTTCTCCCTCCCCCTCTGCCCCTTCCCCCTACTCATGCACACTCGCTTGCTCTCTCTCTCAAATAAATAAAATCTTGGAAGAAAAATAAAAAGAACTTGACAAAATTTTTCTGGCTTTCTCATGAAAGAATAAACATGCGACAGTCACAGGAAAAGAAGGGGGAAAATAGTAATCAAAGTGCTTTGTCCTGCCAGATGTTATTGTATTTATATATATATATATTTAAGTTTTATTTATTTAAGTAATCTCTACATCCACCATGGGGCTTGAACTCATGACCCCAAGATCAAGAGTTGCATGCTCTTCCAACTGAGCCAGCCAGGAGCCCCTATATATTTTATATTTATTAAAAATTGAGGTATTCCAGGGGCGCCTGGGTGGCTCAGTTGGTTAAGCGACTGCCTTCGGCTCAGGTCATGATCCTGGAGTCCCGGGATCGAGTCCCGCATCGGGCTCCCTGCTTGGCAGGGAGTCTGCTTCTCCCTCTGACCCTCCTCCCTCTCATGCTCTCTGTATCTCATTCTCTCTGTCTCAAATAAATAAATAAAATCTTAAAAAAAAAAAAAAAAAAATTGAGGTATTCCAGTCAGTGGAAGGAAGAGGCTTTTCACAATTAAAATCCAGAATATAAAGGTAGTATTTTAAATCAGCAGTAGAGGATGGAATCAAATGATACTGGAAAAACTGGTAGCCATTGAAAAAGAAAAAAAAGGAGGAGGAAAATAGCCACCTGAACTCTTGCACTTCATATTCCAAAAAGTAATAATACCAAAAAAAAACCCAAAAACAAAACGAAAGAACAGAGTACTTGTTGCTAACGTAAGCAGATTTACTATTATTTACCTATATTCTTTATTTATAAGCTTGGAATGGGTCCTTTCTATACATGATATAAAATCCAGTAGCCATTAAAGTGGGGGAAAAGTCTACCATTTTTTAATGCAAAAAGCTCTTAGAAATCTAGGGAAAAAGTAACACTGGAAAAATAGGCAAAGGACCAAATAGATCATTTATAGAGGGAAGACAGCCCAAAAAAGTTAGAAAATGTGTTAATCTAATAGTTTTTAAAAGCCTGACAGGTTGGCAAGAGTTTTGAATTGCTAATACTGATAACATCTGGTGTGGGTGTGGGGAAGGACACTTCTTTCCCATCCGTGGCATTCCCCTTGACCTGGCCATTTGATACCAGAAAATGTGGTCCAGCTCAATATTCAGGTGCACCAAAGGGTTCTCCACAAGGGACGGCATCAGTGTTATTTGTAAAAGCAAAAACCCTTGGCCAGACCCAAATGCCCATGAATACGAGTTGAGGAAGTTGTCAGACATCCATAGCATGCAAACTCTGTGGCCAGTAAGCACAGTGAGGTAGGTCTATATATATGGCACATGGAAAGTTGTCCAAGTCACGTGGTAAGAGCATGCTCATAATTAACAGGTGGCAGAATGGGATGTGGTTCCATTATTATTCAAAAAAACTAAAACTGGGGCGCCTGGGTGGCTCAGATGGTTAAGCATCTGCCTTCGGCTCAGGTCATGATCCCAGGGTCCTGGGATCAAGCCCCGCATCGGGCTTCCTGCTAGGCAGGGAACCTGCTTCTCCCTCTCTCTCTCTGACGCTCATGAATAAATAAAACATTAAAAAAAAAAAACTGTATGTTTACATACACGACTGTAAAAGCAGTGTGGAGAATTGCTGTGTGCTGAATCAGGTGTTTATCTCTGGGGTTGGATCACAAAAGATTGCCTTTAAGTTTTACATGCTCTAATGTTTGAATTGTTGCCCACAGATATACTTCTTTTATATAGTCAAAAAAGATAAAGCTTTTAAATTATTAATGTAAAAACTGGAAAAAATCGACTTCCTCGTGTCTTAGAAAAGAAATACATTTTAGTGTCCTAACAGTGTTACAAGAGAAAGGGAGCTTGGGAAAGAACATGATATTTTTTACATTTCACCAATATTCCTGGGAATCATAGAGAATTTTGAAAGAATAAGAAATACCAATGGAAGCAAACATGAGAATTAACGCAGATTTCTTATTAGAATTCATAAGTCTCCAGGGTCCTCTCTGTGCACACGTTTTGTTTTAGGTTTTTTTTTTTTTCTTTTGTCTCTTATCTTTATTTTAATACTGCCTGGCTGAAACAAGTCCTTCCTGGAACTTTTTAAAAGAATACCTTCAGCAGGTAGAGCATGCAGCTCTCATTCTCAAGGCAGAGAGATTACTTTAAAAAAAAAAGAACTTCAGAACAGAATCTGTTCCTAAAAGAAAAAGTTACTCTTTTTTTTTTTTAAGATTTTATTATTTGGCACAGAGAGAGCGTGCACGCACACAAGTTGGGGGAGAAGAGGGAGAGGGAGAAGCAGATTCCCCGCTGAGCAGGGAGCCCGATGTGGGGCTCAGTCCCAGGACCCCGGGATCATGACCTGAGCCAAAGGCAGATGCTTAAACAGCTGAGCCACCCAGGTGCCCAGAAAAAGTTATTCTTAATTTCACGGGCTAAGTTCCCATTCCTGCAAATTCCCTTCACCCATTATATGTGTGACCTCGCTCGTTCTTAAGGATTTTCCAGGAGACCATTTATATATCACATTTGAAGTCAGATCAAAACAAATGTTTGGACCTTCTGAAGGAGATTTTTCTTTTTTTTGAAGTTTCAGATATTCTCAGGGAGATGCAGTAGAAAATATTGGGGTTCTGGAATTTCCTCAGCTTTTATGTGTTTTGGAGTTAATATGTTTAAAACACCTCATGGTGTGCCCACTTTCTGCATCAGATCAGAACTGTCTTTTTTTCTTTTTTTTTTTTTAAAGATTTTATTTATTTGAGAGCACTCGCAGGAGCAGGGGGAGGGACAGAGGCAGAGGGAGAAGCAGACTCCCCACTGAGCACAGAATCCAACACGGAGCTCAGGACCCTGCGATCATGACCTGAGCAGAAGGCAGACCCTTAGCCGACTGAGCCACCCAGGCGCCCCTTTTTCTTTTTCTTTCTTTTTTTGCCAAAACTATAAAACAACAATAATGAATGGGTGTTCAAGTGCTTTTCATAAGTCAGGCATTGTTCTGCATATTTAACTGTGGAGTGTGTCATTGGAGCTTCTTCCTAACAGCTCCATCTGATGGGCGCACTCTGCCTTCCTTTTACAGATGGCCTAAGAGGTCAGGTCATTTGCCCAGTGTCACAGCAGCCAGGAGGTGACAGACCTTGTAATTTATTCAGAGACAGAGTGTATGTGTTTATGTCACAGAGGCTATACTATTTCTTTCCATTCCAGAATAAATCAAAATGATAACAATTTTATTTTTATTTTTTTTTATCATTTAAAACCATCAGTTGTTAATGTTAAGAAAATGAGAGATCAGTAAATGTAATGAAGAGGAAGCTTGCGCAGAATTTGCTCCTTATCCTCCATAGCAGTGTGTGAGTGAGGCTGCTCCTGAATGCTGATGTGTCCTCTGTGGTGCTTCTCTCCCCCACCTCCCCCGAAGGCTATGGGAATGGGGTGGGGGTGGGGGTGGTAACAGTTTATGAAACTTAAGTATAAATTTAAAATAAATACAATATTTAATAAGACTTAGTTTGGTTTCAGTACCCCAGTCTTGTCCCCGACCTTCATCAAAATTTCTGCTTATAGTTATTTTTTATTTTAAGTTAATATGAAGGAAAGTCAGCTTTTTCTTAACCTCTTCTGCTACGCCTTGATTGTCAGCTGCCTGTCTTCAACCAGTTTCCTTTACCACAGGAGAAAGAAGATGTCCCTGTGGAAATGTCAAATGGTGAGCCAGGTTGCCACTACTTTGAGCAGCTCCATTACAATGACATGTGGCTAAAGGTTGGCGATTGTGTCTTCATCAAGTCTCATGGCCTGGTGCGCCCTCGCGTGGGCAGGTGGGTGTACTGAAGCAGGGAGGATGCAGTTGGGTCTGAGAGATTTGGAGCGGGTAGAAATTCATCACTCTTTAGGATGAAGTCAAAAGTCGTCATCCTCCTCCCCACAATCCTGTAACTTCTCCAGCTTCCTCACACATACTTGCCCTGCTTTGGTCTCTAGCCACACTTCCTTCTTTAAATCCTTCCTGTCAAGTTTCCTTTTCTTCTCCTACCATTTACTGAATTCTCAACCCAGAAATCTCCCTGCCTACCTCACATGATGAACTCCTTTAGCTTAAATTTGAGATAGCACTTCCTTAAGGAAGCCTTTCCTGTCCCCTGCAGACTGGATTAGGTCTCCTCATTACTCTCAGAGCACGTATCAGGTTATTTTACTGTTGGGTTTCCATACCGGACTGCAAATGCCCTGAGAGGAGGGGCCCTGTCCTTTTGCTTACTTTTGTATTCCCTGCTCCAAGCACAATGCATGAAACATGGTAAGGGCTCAGATATTTGTTGAACAAGTACATGAATGAAAAAGTATGGTTGCATGGCGTAAAACGGCAATGAAGGAGTCCAGTATGGGACTGGGCAGTAGAGGGTAGTGATTAAGAGTTGTGGGTCTTGGCGTGAGTTCCAGCTCTGCTAGCTGCATGTCCTTAGGCAAATGATTGACTTTTCTGAGCTCCAGTTTCCTCATTCCATTTTTTCTTCATTCAGTAATCATTTATTACAAACCTAGTATTTGCCAGGCTGTGAGGATACATTAGTGAATAAAACAGACAAATATCCTTAGTCCCATGGATCTTTGTTGCAGTGGGAACACAAATAATAAACATTGCAAATAAGTAAAGGGTACAGAACATTAGGTCATGATATGTGCTGTGAAAAAAATCGATCAGAGTATGGGGAATCAGGAGTGCACAGTCAAAGTGAGGAGGTGCAGAAGTTTAAGTAGGGTGGTGTATATAGGCCTCACTGAGAGCTGATAGTTGACCTAACACTTGAAGAAACTGAGGGAGTGAGGAATGTGAATAATCAGAGAGAAAGCTTTCCAGGAAGCAAGAACAGCCAGTATGAAGACCTGAGAGAGAAGCGTGCCTGGCATGTCCAGATTTGGACGGTTTGTTGCCGGGGAAGTGAGCAGTGCATTGAGTTAGGTCATGAGGGCCACAGCACACAGTGCCACTCTGGTGGACCTCAGGGACCATTGTCGGCACGTGGGCTTTTACTGAATTAAAGGGAGTACCACCGGATTCTTTTCTTTCTTTCTTTCTTTTATTTATTTTAAAGATTTTATTTTTGTATTTGAGAGAGAGAGCACAAGCAGGGGGAGAGGCAGGCAGAGGGAGAAGCAGACTCCCCGCTGAGCAGGGAGCCCAATGGGGGACTCGATCACAGGACCCTGGGATTAGGACCTGAGCCGAAGGCAGACGCTTAACCTACTGAGCCACCAGGCGCCCCCATTGGGTTCTTTTAGGCATAGATGTGATATCTGATTTAGTTCTTAGCAGGATTGCTCTGCCTTCTGATTGCTGAGAATAGACTAAAGGGTTGGGGCGCTTGGGTGGCTCAGTCAGTTAAGCATCTGCCTTCAGCTCAGGTCATGATCCCAGGGTCCTGGGATCAAACCCCGCATCGGGCTCCTTGCTCAGCGGGGAGCCTGCTTCTCTCTCTCCCTCTGCCACTCCCCCTGCTTGTGCTCTCTCTCTCTCTCTCTCTCTGACAAATAAAATCTTTAAAAAAAGAAAAGAGGGGTGCCTGGGTGGCTCAGTCATTGGGCGTCTGCCTTCAGCTCAGGTCATGATCCCAGGGTCCTGGGATCGAACCCCGCATCGGGCTCCCTGCTCGGCGGGAAGCCTGCTTCTCCCTCTCTTACTCCCCCTGCTTGTGTTCCCTCTCTTGCTGTGTCTCTTTCTGTCAAATAAATAAGTAAAATCTTTAAAAGAAAAAGAAAAAGAAGAAAAAAATAAGACTTACAGGGTCAAAGAGAAGCAAGGAGATCTGCTAGGAGGCTGTTGCAATAATCCAGGCAATAATGATTGCTGGCTCAGGCCAGCAGTCAGATCCTGTTGTGAAAGGTTGAATTAATAGGATTCCTGATAAATGGGATGTGGGGTCCGAGAGAGAGAGAGAGAGAGAGAGAGAGAGAGAGAGAAAGGGGTCAAGGGTGACTTCTGTGTGTTGGCCTAAGGAACTGAAAGGGTGGAGTTAACCATGAACTGAGATGAGAATGTTGCTTCATGTCAGGAACCACAAGACAATGGGGACATTAATTATCCCAACTTGCTGGGGGTGGTTATGAGGAATTGTATAATACCTAACACAGAGCAGTCAGATACGCATTTTTATTTTTGTCTAGGGAGATAGTATCTGGCTCTCATCAGATTCTCAATGGGTGAAGGGGTATTTATTATACCTTGACACTCAAAAAGTCATGAACCATTGCCTTAAAGGAATATCTGTGACTCATGTGAGCTGACCCCAAATATGGATGGTTTGTGTGTTTATTCGGCTGGTGAGTCCAATGACAGATGCTTAGTTTTGTTTTTTGTTTTCATCATGAGGATTTCAGGGGAAAAAAAAGCTGGAGGTTAGCTGAAACTATTAAGTCATATGTCTTGGTATTGTGTGTTTTTTCCCTCAGATGAATAGCCAATGTCTTCCCTTTCCAAATGTCTTCTCCTATGCTCAAAGGGGGGAAAAGGGAAGTGGTCTTATTGTCAAAATAGTCAACAAAACTCCTCTAAGTAGTAAATATCATTAAGTTTTTGGTTAAGAGAATTTCTGATAGATAATTCTTCAAGAATGAAACCGATCAGGGGCGCCTGGGTGGCTCAGTCGTTAAGCGTCTGCCTTCGGCTCAGGTCATGATCCCAGGGTCCTGGGATCGAGCCCCGCATCAGGCTCCCTGCTCCACAGGAAGTCTGCTTCTCCCTCTCCCACTCCCCCTGCTTGTGTTCCCTCTCTCGCTGTGTCTCTCTCTGTCAAATAAATTAAAAAAAAAAAAAAAAGAATGAAACCGATCAGAATTCTGTTTTAATGGAATTTCTCCATTTTTCCCCCAAGAATTGAAAAGGTATGGGTCCGAGATGGAGCCGCATATTTTTATGGCCCCATCTTCATTCACCCAGAAGAGACGGAACATGAGCCCACAAAAATGTTCTACAAAAAAGAAGTGTTTCTGAGTAATCTGGAAGAAACCTGCCCCATGACATGTATTCTGGGTATGTATTTATGCCTTTTCATTTAATCACATCCATTCTACAACAATTGATTGAATACTCCTGTGTTAGGCACTGTTCTAGGTGCTAGGTATACAGCAATCAACAGACCAGAGTCTCTGCTGTCTTAGAGACTTAACAATGGGGCAGAGGTTGGGGAGTCAGTAAATAAATTAAGTCTATAGGACATCAGGTAGTAATTAGAGCTATGAATGAGAATAAGGAAGAGAAAGAGGACAGAGAGTAATGTTGAAGGGAGGTCTTGTTTTAGGTAATGTGGTCACCAAAAGCCTTTTTTTTTAAGATTTTATTTATTTGCGAGAGAGAGAATGAGAGACAGCATAAGAGGGAGGAGGGTCAGAGGGAGAAGCAGAATCCCCGCTGAGCAGGGAGCCCTATGCGGGACTCGATCCTGGGACTCCAGGACCATGACCTGAGCCGAAGGCAGTCACCCAACCAACTGAGCCACCCAGGCGCCCCAAAAGCCTTTTTGATAGGTGACGTTAGCAGAGCCCTGAAGGCAGTAAGGAGGAAAACCATCCGAATACAGGCATGCCTTGTTTTATTGCTTTATTGCACTTCACAGATGCTGTTTTTTAACAAATTGAAGGTTTGTGGCAATCCTGCATCAAGCAAGTCTGTTGGTGCCATTTTTCCAACAGCATTTGCTCACTTCATGTCTCTGTCACATTTTGGTAATTCTCACAATATTTCAGACTTTGTTACTATTATATTTGAGATGCTGCAATCTCATGATAAAACTTTAATAGCTGAGGAATTGCTTTTTATGGATGAGCAAAGACAGTGCTTTCTTGGTAAGGAACCTACTTATGGTAAAATTGCTGTGAAGGTTGTTAAAATGACAAAAAAGATTTCAAGTATCACGTAAATTAGTTGTTAAAGCACCAGCAGGATTTGAGAGGATTGACTCCCAAGTTTGAAAGAAGTTCAACTATGGGTAAAATCCTATCCAAACAGCATCACATACTACAGAGAAACCATTTGTGAAAGGAAGAGTCAATCGATGTTGCAACTGTTGTCTTATTTTAAGAAATTGCCACAGCCACCCCAGCCTTTGGCAACCACCATCCTGATCAGTCAGCAGCCATCATTATCCAGACAAGACCCTCCACCAGCAAAAAGATGGGGACACCTGGCTGGCTCAGTCAGTAGAACATACGACTCTTGATCTCAGGGTTTTGAGTTCAGGCCCTAGTTGGATGTAGCGTTCACTTAAAAAAAAAAAATTACAGCTCACTGAAAGCTCAGATGATGGTTAGTATTTTTTAGCAATAAAAAGTGTTTTTTAACTGTAGTATGTACATTGTTTTTTAGACATAATGCTATTGCACACTTAATGGAGTGCAGTATAGTGTAAACATAACTTTTATATACAGTGGGAAACCAAAAAATCATTTGACTTACTTTATTGTGATACTTTATTGAGGTGATCAGGAACTGAACCCACAGTATCTCCAAGGTATACCTTTACTCCTTTTACGCACAGCAAATGTGAAATGCAAGGCCCTTAAGGCATAGTATCTGGGCATGTTTGAGACACAGGAAGAGAGCTGGTGGCTGGGCAAACAGTCACAGTAGGTCTACTAGACTGTGCTGAGATTGAGTTTGGAGCAGATAGGAAGTCCTGGTTATGAGTAGAGAGGTGGTGTGAGCCAGCATATGCACTGGAGGAATCACTGTGGCTGGAGAATGGAGAATATGTAAGAATAAGGTAGGAAGCAGGGGGAGGAGTTAAAAGACTTCTACGGTTTCCTTTGGACTCTTAACCCTAGTAATGTTATTGTCCCTGATCCAGAAATGTGCAGGGCTCATGTTATGGTTTCTATTCAGTCATCCTCCTGAGTGTTCACATGCACTCTGCTTCTCAAATGTAGTTATATGCATCACAGACTGTCATTGTTTTCAGCTGTTGTGTTTCTTCTTGCCCTGAATTAGTGCTACAACTTACTTGCAAACCAGCTACTCTTCCCATCTTTTGGAATAGTTTTCCAAAAGGTTACTAGGTACAAGCTTTATAATGATTACACATGGTTATAAAGAAGCAGCCACCATGCTTATGGCCAAGAGGAAATAAGTATTTTACACTTAGACTTTATTTAATCACTAAGTTTACCTACATTGTTTTGGTGCTTTGAATTTTTTCAGAATTAGATACGGTAAATGTGTTACCTCTCTCATGTCTCTCTCTGAATGGCTGATAGTTCAACACGTTTTCCTCTTTATAACGTGGTGCACCCTGGGGAGAGGGAGCAAAGGCTCGTGAGGTTATTAAATCCTTCTTAAGTTTCTGCAGCAGAGACTATCTTCCTTTTAACTCATGATCCAGACTAAAGAAGTGCCCTAAAGCCTTAATCCCTAGGGTAAACCCAGCCACAAGACTCAAAGGGAGTATAGCAAAGGTGAGACTGAAGTCTCCTTTGTTAGGGTGACCATATCATTTATTGCTTTTTTTCTTAGTGGTTACCCTGGGAATTACATCTTAAATTTGTCGCAGTCTAGTTTGAATCAATACTGCCTTAGCTGCTGCTTTTTTTTTAAGATTTTATTTATTTATTTGAGAGAGAGCATGAGACGGGGGAGGGCCAGAGGGAGAAGCAGACTCCCTGCTGAGCAGGGAGCCCGATGCGGGACTTGATCCTGGGACTCCAGGATCATGACCTGAGTCAAAGGCAATCACTCAACCAACTGAGCCACTCAGGCACCCTGTCTTAGCTTATATCGTATATTAAACTCTGCTCCTCTAGAGCACCATCCCTCCCCCTTTGTGTTATTGTCAGAAATCATATCTTTATACTGTGTGTGCCCCCACTGACATGAATTTCTAATTATCGCTTTATGCATTTGTCTTTAAAATCATATAGGAGGGAAAAAAGGAGAATTAGAAACTGGAAATACAATATTGGCTTTTATATTTACATATGTGGTTACCTTTATTGGTGTTTTTTGATTTCTTTATATGGCTTCACATCATTATCTGATGTCCTTTCATTTCAGCCTGAAGGACTCCCTTTAGTATTTCTTGTAGAACAGGTCAACTAACAACAGACTCTCTTGTCTTTTGTTTATCTAGAAGTGTCTTGATTCCTCTCTTTTTGAAGGGTACATTTGCTATATATAGAATTCTCCATTGACAGTTTTTTCTGTCATGCCTTCCATCAAATTTAGGGAGTTTTTTGTCTTCACATATTCTTTCTTCTCCTTTCTCTCCTCCATCTGAGAGTCCCGTTAGGCCTATGTTGGTGTGCTTAATGGTGTGTCACAGTTTTCACAGACTGCTCGTGTTTCTTTCTTCTTTCTTCTTTCTGTTCCTCAGACTGATCATTTCAGTTGGCTTGTCTTGGAGTTCACAGGTTCTTCTGCCTGTTCAAATCTTCTAATGAAGATTTTCATTTTAGCTGTTATACTTTTCAGCTCCAGCGTTTTTTTTTTTTTCTTTTTCTTTTTAAGATTTTATTCATCTGAGAGAGAGAGAGTGCACACAAGCATGGGGGGGAGGGGCAGAGGGAGAGGTAGAAGCAGACTCCCTGCTGAGCAGGGAGCCTGATGGTGGCTCAACCCCAGGTCTCTGGGATCATGACCTGAGCTGAAGGCAGATGCTTAACCTACTGAGCCACCCATGCACCCTTCAGCTCCAGCATTTCTATTTAGCTATTCAGCTTTCCAGTTCTTGTCTCATTCTTGATAATCTCTGTTTGGTGAGTCAGCATTCTGATTTCCTTTAGTTGTTTGTCCATGGTTTGCTTTAGCTCTCTGAGCATATTTAAGACAGTTGATGTAAAGTGTTTGTCTCATAGGTCCAGTGTCTGGGCTTTCCCTGGGATGGTTTCTGTTCATTTCTTTTTATCCTATGAGTGGGCCATACTTTCCTGTTTCTTTGCATGGCCTCATAATTTTTTATGAAAACTGGGTATTTTGAATATCATAATGTGATACCTCTGGAAATTGGATTCTCCCCTTTCCTCAGGCTTTATTGTTATAGCTTACTGGGGGGGTCATAGTTGCTCATTTAATGACTTTTCTAAACTAGTTTTTTAAACTGTGTTTGCTGGGGCGTCTGGGTGGCTCAGTCGTTAAGCATCTGCCTTCAGTTCAGATCATGATCCCAGCGTCCTGGGATCAAGTCCCACATCGGGCTCCCTGCTCAGCAGGAAGCCTGTTTCTCCCTCCCCCACTCCCCCTGTTTGTGTTCCCTCTCTCACTGTGTCTCTCTCTCTGTCAAATAAATAAATAAATAAAATTTAAAAATAAACTGTTTGCTGTTGTGTGTGGTCACTGAAGTCTCTGATCTGTTAGCTTAGTGGTCAGCTACTGATTTAATAGAGATTTTCTTAAATACTTGGATCAAAAAAAAAAAAATTTTCCCGGTCTCTGCAGCTCGAGGCTCTGTCTGTGTTGGAACACACTTTCATCACTCAGCCTGAAGTTTACAACTCTGCCTTTTCCTTTGCTTCCTGTTTGCACAGGGCTTGACAGTCAGCCAGAGGTGAGAGTTTAGGGCTTTCAGGTCTTTTCTGAGCATGCGTCCTGCCCATGGCATGTGCCTGGCTTTCTAGATTCCCCAGGATATGTGGAAGCTTTCCAAAACTCTTACTCCCCAAAGTATCTCACTGCCCAGCTTTTTCTGCCAGGCTTTTTCATATTTGTACTGTTTGCCCCAACTGATAACCTTTGTCCCAGCTGGCACCATCTGGTTCATTTGCCTTCAGGTGTTTTCAGCAGAAGTACCATAGCCACTTTTCTGCCATCATGAGATTCCAAGTTAGGTGGAATAAAGGCAAACCCTTCGTGTTCGTCCCTGAGGAAGCCAGCCATGTTGGTCAAAACAGGCAACCAAATTCTTTGAGAACAAGGGCTGGTCTGCTCCCTCCAGCACCAGAAACTCCCACCAGGAGTGCGGGCTGTCATCTTCCTGACTGCTGCTGAGCCAGAGGGGGGTGAGGGGGGGTGGGCCAAGGGTAAGTTAAAATGCCACAAAGCTCACC